GGTGGGCAATTCTGTGTTTTTTACCAATTATTAGGGCTCGTCAGAGGAGCAGTGCTGGTGTGCCAACCCTTCCAGCAGAGCTATGTGTATGAGGTCCCAGGGATGCTGCCTGGCCTCTGGCTGGGACAATCCTCCCTGGGCTTCTGGGCAGTAATGCAGGACTGTGGTGTACTGGGCACTGCTGTCCTGGTGTGCTACTGCCTGCCCATGTCTTCCCCCTCCCCCTGCCTACTTTCTCCTGCATCAGCCTGCATTTGTAAAATGAAATAAATATTGACATGGACGGGATGCTATTCAATTTGTCCTGATCACTGGGCTGCGGTGAGTTCTGACAGAGCACAGTGTAAAACATAAGCTCAGGATGTAATTTCTACTGTCAACATGATGTACAGTATAGCTGTGCCAAATGCACACCAACAAACTGCACGAGCTCTTGTGGGGAGGGGAGGGGAGGGAGGGGGGAGTTGTGCTGATAATTGGAAGCAGGGATGGCAGAGCAGCAGGAGAGGGGACATCACCCTGGGCCTGGGGCAGTGTGAGGGTCTGGGGCTTCACACTCTGCGTGGAAACCTGCTTGGTGTGGTGAGTGCTGGGCACGCTGCCATGTGTGCTGCTGTGGGCTGGGCTGGCTGCAGCAGCTCCCACTGGTTATTTACAGCCCTGCTGCTCACGTGTGGCACAGAAAAGGGCACTTCCAGCTCTTGGTGAAAGGTTTTCAATAACACAGGGAAATAAATACTGTGCTAGTCCTGGTTCCTGTGCATGGGACCTTCTGGGGTGTCTTGATTCCTGCTGCTGCAAGGGCATGAGTAGGACTTGGGGCTCTTGGCTTTGCAGCCTCCGGAAGAGGTCTGTGATGTGGCAGCTGGAAAGGTTCTGCACACTGAGGAGAGGCATGACCCTGAAGCTGTCACAGAAGAGACACAGGCTGAGAATTTGTCACTGAAGAAGAAAGATCTGGATCAGCAATGAGCCTGGCTACAGATGTGTCTCTGGGCCCGCATTTTGTGGTGCAGAGGACTGGAGGTTGCCGCAGGTTCTGTAGTTGGGCTTTGATTTCTGGGACATGGATGAGGCAACTCTGGTTACAGCACCTGCATTGCTGCCCACAGGAAGAGCATGCAGATAGCTCAGCTGAGAGTAGCTGAACTTTGGACACGTGACCAGCAAACTGCATCAGCTCAGATGAGAAATCTGTAAAATATAAAAAACAGCACAATAGCTGAGACTATACATAAGGTTGTGTTTCCCACAGCAACGCAGCCCAGCCCCATGGGTGCTCAGCAGGACTCTCCATGGCAGAATCTGCTCTGTGGAGTGCTCAGATGCAGCAGGGCTGAACAAGTTGCCTTGGGAACTGTGGGCCAGCTTGTCTGCCAGCCAGGGAGCAGCTCGGCTGGAGTGGAGCTCGCCCGCTGCAGCATCTCCTGCCCTCACTTCCTCTTTCCTGCCTTGCCTTAGTGTGTGCGTTTAAGCTGCTATTCCTACTGGTTTATTGACACTGTTTGGGGCTGTGCTGTAACTCTGGTCAGGCTGACAGAGAAGGCCCAGAGTCCATTTCTGAGCAGGGAGCAGTGCCATTTCTGTGTGCACAGGGCTGCCTGCAGTGTGTGCCTGGGGTAGTTGTGTCCTGGAGGAAATCAGATGCCACTAAGGTGTGAAATGGTGTGATGAGGGGAATTAAGGTGGCTCCTGCTGCTGTCACAGAGCCAGTGTTGGTGCTTTCTGCCAGCTGTGTGCCCCGAGTGCTGGGTTCTGGAGGCAGAGGGAATGTGCTGCCTTCATGTGCCAGCTCGGTTGGAGACCTTGGATGCTGATGTTAGTTGTGGTGCCAGGATTTGCTCCATTGGACTGGCTTTCCTGCAGCCTTCCCATGTGTTCAGAAGGACTTCAGTGTTGCAGAACTGCACCCTGGCACTGGCACTGCTGCCTTGTCAGGCTTCTGGCAGGGCTTTATAAATCACTGTGGCTGGATCTGCTCCTGGATGGCAAGGTCAGGATGCTGGGAGGGCAGAACAGGAGATTTCAGCAGGTGGTGGCTGCTTCTCCCCAAGGCTCTGGCTGACATAGCTGTCCTGAGAACACATGCAGATGGATTATTTTTTAAATTCTCTTTCTGGCAGTTGAGTTTACCAGCTACAACTTTCTTGTACTCAGATTTTGGATGCAACCAGAGGTGTTGCCTGCAAAAGTGCTGCAGAGTGGCAAGCAGAGATGCTGGATAGGGTGTTCTTCCCATGCTTACTGTTTGCCCTTGCTGCTGACCTGAAACTCTTGCTTTGGCACAGCTTATGCTGCTGAGTTTATTGACATGTCTCACTGTCTGGGTAACCTGTTCCAAAATAAGCAGAGATCTCCTAGGTGTGAGAACTGGGGGAGGTGCTGTTTGTGACAGCAGTGCACTGTGTCTTGCTGTATTTACCTCATGTATACCCAGGTATGTGTGATAAAGCACACTTGCACTTGTGCTGTTTTTGTGAGGGTCTTGCTCTGGAGCCTGCTGTGGGTTGGGCAGCCTCAGCTCTGTTGCTGCAGGGCAGGGACTCCAATCTCTGCATTTGTTCTGTGCAGTTACTTTACCCTCTGTGTGGGAAGAGGTGGCTCAGTCCGTCCCCAACCTACAGGTCATCTTGCTTCAATAAGTGAGCAGTGTTAAATACTCTGGTGTTTGATGTTTGATAGGGATCCTCACCAGCTGCCCTGTGGGAGCAGGGACAGGAAGCACTTCTGCGTGGGGAGGCCTGGCTGCAAGACACAGTTGTGGCATTGCCAACAACCTCACCTGGCTGGTGTGGAAATATCTTCATAATAAATGGGCTGGCAAGGAGGAGGGGTGGGGAGCAATGTTAGTGCTTCTGTACCATGATTTCTAACATAAAAATACACTGGAGACCCCGTCTTCCTTGGAGCATGTAGTGCACAGGGCTGGCACATGTGACAGCCGATGTGCATGTGTGAGTGGAATATAGCGTGTGTGCATGGGGAGGAAATGTGTGTGCACACAAATGAGGCATAAATAGACAAAAGAAGCCAGTGAGTATGAGTGATCCTAGCTGTGCATGGGGTGGGATGTGTGTGAAACCTTTTGGTGAATAGATTTGTGCACATTGTGTGACACACAACTTGTGAACCATGAACAGGCAGTGTAGGATGATGCTTTGTGGTTCTCAGAGAAGTGTTTGTCCAGAGGGTGAATGCAGGCAGGAAAGAGTGCAGCAGACATTCCCTGTTTGGGAAGCAGTCCCATTGGTGGAGTCACATGGGGGAATAGCAAGTGAGGGAAAGGGCTGGAGAAATACGTGGGAGCTGTCCCTCCTCTGAACTGTTCAGATTTATTTAGGGGTCTGTGCGAAGCACAGTCCAGTTCCCTTTCTATGGGAAGTAGATGGACATCTAGTCCAGGATCATTTGCCTTTCCATTCACCCTTTTTCTGCCTCCTCTTAAGAGTAGCAGCTGACAGGAGATGAATTCTGCAGACTGGTGCATGTTTCATGAGTAGATCAGGCTGTGGCTGGTATTGCAGAGCTCTGGTGGAACCTCAGGGCGTTGGTGCAGGGAGAGGTGGATGCTGCATCCCCATCTCCTGATCAGGCTTCTTCTCTCCTTGTGCTCACTGGATGCAATGCACCCTGGGCTAAAGGTCTCATGTCAGCCCTCAGTGCCTTTAGGGTGGCGTGAAGCTTACACCAGAGCCCTTTTTCAAACTGTTACCTTTAGAGTCAGCCAGGTGGCAAATTCTTGAACAGATGCTTTTCTGCTGCCCGTGGCTGCAGAGGTGAGTTGACATAAAGGTTCTGCAGGGATGGCTTGCAGGAGTGTCTGGACAGGCTGTACCTGCCATGCTCAGGGGCTGGTATCCCTCAGTGTGAGCCTTGTCTGCCTGTGCAGGACTGCTGTGCTCTGGTCCTGCCAGGCACCAGCAGCTGTGCTGTGCCAGGAGTGCTGCAGCACCTCTCCTGACAGTGTGGATGGGCACCAGTGACTCCCTCCAGGCACAGACCTCACTCTCTCGACAGCCAGGAACATGTGGTGAGGGGGTGCTCTTGTCAGCAGGGTCCTTGGTCTCTGAGTCCCTGCTGGAGCAGATGTCTGCAGTGCTGGGAGCTCTGCAGCCCTCCCTGTTGTGTTGCTGCTCTGCCAGGACCTATGGGATTTGGCCCTGCTGTGGAGCACCTGGGGCAGGGCAGGTGGGAGATACTGAGCAAGGCTGGAGGAGCAGCACAGGGGGACCTTGGGCCGTGTTTTCACACCAGCTCTGACACCTTGGCTTTTTCCAGGCTCCTGGAGATGCTGCTGACTGCCCTGCACCTCCCTGCGTGAGCCAGAAGAGAATGGAAGTGACCGGAATCATCTGGGCAAAGGACCCTTCAGCAGGCACTGGGATGGTGTTCCCCTGAAGATGGGAGTTACAAATGGCCTTGTGAACTGCACGTGTGGCACAGACACCTGCACTGCCACAACCCCTGCACAGTAGTCCCAGGCTGCCACAGGACAGGCAGACGTTTGGCCGCAGCAGCTCATCCTGTTAACTGCTCTGTGAAAAGCTTTGTGGAAGAGCTTTCCTCCTCCTCCTGTGAATGCCAGCAGTGGGTGTCTGTGCCCCGTGTGCCTGCTGGCAGGGTGGGCAGCAGGCTGTGCCTCGCCCCCTTCCCCAGCCAGACCGGCGGCAGCCCAGCACGGAGCCCTGCAGCTCTGTCCCCGGGGGCAAATGCCAGCTGCCAGCTTCTTCTCTGGAGACCCAGGAGCAGCCTGCGAGGCACCAGCACTGACTGCTCCCACGCCAGCAGCAGCGGGCAGTCCGGGACGCCTCTCGTCACAGATGTGACTCACGCAGGACAGGAGCACTCCAGCTGCAGGCCACGGCATGCAGCAGGGACGGGGATGCTCTGCACTGACCAGGCAGCCTCACGCTGCTAGTGTGGACTTTCCTCCTACTTTTCCCTAAAGGATGCTGGCTGCACATCCAGAAGCTCCTGCTCATGCAGCCTCCTAGAGTGCCATGGCGAAGGGTCTGCAGGGCTGCTTGTGCACCATGCTGCTGCTGTTCTGTGCCATCCAGGAGCTGGGGTCCTGGGCCATGCACACGGCGGTGGAGGGCCCTGGCCTCGGGGAGCCCGGGGATCCTGCGCTGCTGGCCGGCGGGCGAGTGAAGCGTGGCTGGGTCTGGAACCAGTTCTTTGTGGTGGAGGAGTACACGGGCACGGAGCCGCTCTATGTGGGGAAGGTAAGCTGACCTGATGTCTCCATGGGGCTGGCAGAGCCAGGGGCAGGAAATGCTGGCAATGCTGAGCAGAGAGAGGGCTCATGTGAAGGTTGTTCACGGGAGCCTGGCTAGTGAAATACTTTGTGGGCTGTGATGGCTGGAGCTTGGTCCCTGCTGGGGGTGGTGAGGTTAACCTCACCAGGGGTGATAACAGGACACACCAAGATTTACATCTGTGTTCCTAATCACCAGGGGTGCTCCCAGGGGTGATAACAGGACACACCAAGATTTACATCTGTGTTCCTACAATCATGTACTGGGTGTACTGGCTGCTTGTGGTGTCTGGCAAGAAGCCCTGTGTCCATGGGAGCTGCTGGCAGGTGACAGTGCCTTGCTGGGCAGGACTGGGTCTGCAGGCAGGAGCTCACCACACTTCCCTGGTGTGTGACCTCCCGGGAATGCTGGACATGGACCTCTGCTCCCTCTTACTTCTGGTGTCCTGAGGCTGAAGGAGCATTTCACCTGGGGGTTGCTGGGCTTTATCCTTTTCTGGGAGCTTTGGAGAAGCAGCTGCCCCACATGTCAGGCAGACGTGGTGTTTGTATTTGGGTGAAGGCAGTGCTGGCTGTTGGGACCAGTCAGAGGAACACGCTACAATCCAGCTAGAGCTGGAGGCATGGGCTCACCCTGAAGGAAAGTGCCCAAGAGCTTGTACAGCAGGGCTGTCTGATGGCCTCAGCCGTCTGGGCATGAGTCTGGAGGAGCTTGGAAATGGGTTTCTTGGCTGGGGGCCAGCGGGGATTTCAGTGGTGATTTGTGTCCGTTTCAGCAGACACTCAAAGCCGCGCTCCTCCGCCGCCCTCGGAGCAGGCACAGCTAATTCATGGCTCCCCTGGGAGCAGCGGAGGCACTGGGCCCTGTCACAGGCCTGGCACTGCCTCGGCTCCAGCTGAACCGAAACCTACAACTCACCCGTTTTACAGCCCCTTTCCACATCACCCACCACATCACCCGCCTGGCTCACAACAGCAGCATGACAGCGCTGCCTGTGATCCCCCGGGCTGAAAGCCAGCAGGGCCAGGCTTTTCCTGGTGCTGGGAGAGGATGGAGTGCTCGTCTGGGACACTCTCTGTCCCCAGCAGTGTGCCAGCCCTCTTAGCACAGTCTGTGGGTCCGGAGCCTTCCTGCACTGGGGGACCCTGCAGAGGAGCTGGGGATGCCCTCTGTGGATGCCTCTCACACACCTATATGTGCTTTCTGAAGGGCCGATACCATTTCCATAAAATCTGGGTTCTCTAGCTAATCCTTCTTCTGAACTGTAATTTCCCCTGAGGCTGCTGTCAGTTTGATGTGGATTTCTTTGGGTTTTTTAAATAGAATTATGGGGTCAGCACTAGTTACAAACTTCTGCATGTGGACAGATCTATTTTAGATAGAGGAGAGGATTAAAGGGAAAAAAGCAGATTTAATTAAGTTGCTAATATTTAAAGAAAATTGATGAACTCGGGCTTTATGAGTTGGAGCAAACAGTGTGCGCCTTTATTACGGGCTAGTTTTTATTTGATTTTCTTTCTTTTCTAGCCCCAGAGTCATTTTTTATTTGTGTATCTGTGCTTTCTGTTTAATTGCTTTTAATAAGGAATGTGCACCTCTGTTCATATTTAATTTTGATTTAATTATTAGTATGTAATTAATGGCTTCGTAAGAATTCTGGTTGTAGTCTTTTAGGACAAGGAAACAATTTTCCTGTTTAACAAATGGGACAGATCAGCCTATTGTCCGCCCTCTGGATGTCCCAGCTCTGCAGACACTGCTGTCCTTGCTTGGGGCTGATCTGCAGGCAGGGCTGGGTGCTCCCTGTGCTCTTGGGGCCCAGCGTGTGCCAGAGCTGTGTGACTTCAATCTCCTGCCGTGCCCACGGGTGGAGGGAGCCCTGAGGCTGCGTGGGAGCGTGGTGCTCCCCAAGCCTGCCTGCTGTAACAGGGAGGAGAGAACATCCCTGGCATGTGATCCCAGTCTGTGGCATCTCCCCTTGTGTTTCTGTAGTCTGAGATCTGGCCCTCCCCCATTAGTTGTTGTTTAGCCAAGCAGCACAGATTTAGCTCTTCTAATCTTCCCCTGTAAATCAATCTCTGCAGCCCCTTGAGCCCAGGCTCCATTTTTCTTCCTAGCATTCCGGTTTGCAGGGATGCTGGTGTCTGCTCCAAGCAGTCAGTGATGAGCAAATATGTGAAGAGGATGTGCTGAGAGCTCAATGTGGTGCTGGATGCTTTATCTCTAGCCTAATTATTAATCATGAGCCCGATGTTCAGCAGAAAATGCAGGTTTCTGCCGCCTGTGCGGCTGCCTGTACAGACCTGGTGCTCCTTCTTTGTTCTGAAAAGCTCACGGAGTAGCAGTGGGAGATGGGAGAGAATGATAAAGTGAAGAGGGCAGCAGGGTCTCCACCAGCCAGCAGGGAGGGTTGGGACTGGATGGCCAGGCTGGGACGACCATCCCCACAGACCAGGGCAGGATGCTCCAGGTGGCCAGGGCAGGATGACCACCCCATAGGCACATTTCCAGCCAAATCCATCACCGTGGTCCCAGACTCTGCTGGGCTCACAGCCCTATTTGTGAGCTGAGTGAAGGTCTCCTTCCAGGCAAGCCTTGAGAGATGTGTCACCATGGGCAGTAATTTGTGACTGTTGTGCAAAATGTATTGAATTGCCTAACGTGTGGGTCCCTCACTTGTGAAATAAATACATAAACTGTATCTAACAAGACAAATATAATGAAGGCATCGTAAAAAAAGAGGCAGCTCTGGTATAAATTCTTGCTGGTAGAGCTGTATGTCTGAAAGGTGGATTATAGAACTGCAGTTTGGAAGATTGAATGGCCCATAAACATTTTCATATTTCATTAGCCGATTAATGGACGGCTTTTTTCTTTTTGTGGAGGGGGGACATGACTTTGCTGATTCTAAGCAAAAATTGTAGGAAACAAATGAAAGCAGCTGATGAAACCTTTCCGGGGACCTGTCCCATTATGGATTGTCCCAATTAATGCCCATGCTGCTCTCTGTCAAGATGCATTCTGCCTGTCCAGTTACTGTTAATAGATTTCTCATAAGTGGCTGGATTGTAAAAACCTCATAACTCAGTTTAATGCCACCAATAAAATTATCTCTGGACGTCTGGCCTGGATTCCAGTCAGCTCTTGGTCCACGGGGGACTGCTGTTTACCCTTTCTTTTCCTAATTCCAAACATTGTCTTAATTAAAAAATGAAGCAGCAGAGATTGCCTGCAAAGGCATCTTCCTCGGGGTCTGTTTTTAGTCCTGAACATGAGCCAATTTGTCACACTCTTTTGCAGATTTTGTCCGGGTGGGGCTCTGGGCATGATGATGGGATATTGTGACCCCTGTTACCCTGCAACATAAACCCAGCACAGGGGTGCAACAAGTGTGTGAGCTCTTCAGCAGGGAGACTTGTCAGCACCAGCTGCCCAGATCATGGAGGGTGGCTGTGGCTGAGGCAAAGCAGGTGGATGAGGATGGACTTTGGGCAATTGGTTGTGTAGAAGGAGAGGGATGCTGATGGTGAGGTACCTCTGCAGCTTGGGTAGACGTGATCCCATGCTGCCAGAGTCCTGGGTCCTTGTCCATAGGGAAGCCTCTTTCTTTGGACTGCAGTTGGGTTGTCCTTTGCCTTTCCATCATCTCATAACCCCTTATTAAAGGGGTTTGTCCCTTGGTTTGTACTGGGGGTGGGCACTGGCAGAATCTGTAATCTGCAAAGCTGTAAAGGCAGGCCTGAAATTCCAGTTTATTGGGCCTTCCTTCATGCACAGGAGTTGTCTGGTGGTGCTCCCTGTGACTGTCCAGTCCAACAAGAGCAGAGGGGCATCTCACAGGGACCATGGGCATCTTGTGCAGGTGGCTAGGGTTGGGTACAAGCACAGCCCCAGCCTGCTCCCACCCTCTCCCTCTTTCCCCCGCAGATCCACTCGGACTCGGATGAGGGAGACGGCTCCATCAAGTACACCATCTCCGGGGAGGGCGCGGGGACCATCTTCCTCATCGATGAGATCACAGGTGACATCCACGCCACCGAGCGCCTGGACCGGGAGCAGAAAACCTTCTACACGCTGCGGGCACAGGCGCGGGACCGGCAGACGGACCAGCTGCTGGAGCCCGAGTCAGAGTTCATCATCAAGGTGCAGGACATCAACGACAGCGAGCCACGCTTCCTGGAGGGGCCCTACATCGGCAGCGTGGCAGAGCTGTCCCCCGTCGGTAGGTCTGCTGCGGGCTGGGAAAGCTGCACTTCTCCCCTGTCAAACCTTGAGCCTGCTGTACCCCACAAAAACCACTTGCAAATCTCAGGGATTGCAGAGCTAGGGAGCCAAAAGGGAAAAATAAATAAGGTGGCTTAAGAAAAACAAGTGGATAAATCCTCTGAGCTGATTGCCAGCCTTTGGCTGAGCGCTCAGTCTCAGCCCTAAGCCGTGCTCTGGGGATGGGTCGTTGTGGTGCCAGCTGCCTGCTGTGCATTGACTCTGGCTTTGCACAGCCCCCTCCATCCTAAATGCTGGGTGGTTGGACTAAACTCTCACAAATCAAGGGGCTCACATCTGCCTGTGGTTCAGATTGGTCTGAGTGGTGCTTCTCCCACAGCTCAGGCCATCCTCTGTGTGCTGCTGTGCTGCTCTTCTGAGCCCCGGGGCTGCTCAGACATCATTCCTTTGAGTCCCCATGCAGAACTGCCAGGCCCTTCTCAGCTGGATCTGCCCTTCTCAGCTGGATCTGCCCTTCTCTGAGGGGCCAGGCCTTGTTGGCTGAGATTGGGCAATTCACGTCCCTGTGACAGAAGTGTGGCTTCCCTCTGTTAGCCTTAACTGCCCATCCCCGTGGCACCAGGTCCCTCTTAAGCGTGTTGGTGATCAGCCTCACTGAAGCTCGGAAGGCCAGGCTGATGATGAGGCTGCATGAGTCCATCCCCCTGGATGGCAGAGCAGGACAGTCAGCTCTGTGCTCATCCAAGCTTTGGGAGGAATGCAGGGAGGTGATGTGTGAGCTGCAGCACTGCTGGCCTCGCTTCTGCTGGGCTCCCATGCTATTGAGCACAGCTGGAGTCCAGGAGAATGGCTGTGCTGCACTGCCTGGAGCCAGAGCGTTCCCTGAGCACGCTGGGCTCTCTGCTACCCCTGTAGCAGGCTGTGTGTCAGCATGTGCTGCAAGCAGGAACTGTAAATCACTGTTCCCAAAGGCTGTGTCCAGGTAGCAGACAGCTTGTGAAAGGCTGACATTGAAGATCAGGCAGGACCCCAAGGTCTCAGCAAGGGCTGAGTCAGCACAGAGGGCAGTAACAGTGCAGGACTGAGAGAGCCCCCAGGGCAGGGGGAGCAGCTGGCAGCACCAGGGGCTTGAGAGGCCAGCTCAGGGGAACCACCAGGTCCTGCTGTAGGAAAGTCTGGCTGCAGAGGCATCCTGGCAGCAGAGGGCAGGGGATGGTGCTCAGGTCTGCACTGCCTCAGGACAGAGCTCCAGCTCTCCATGGTTCGTGTGCAGCATATTGCAAGGCTGGTGCATGGCCTCCAGCAGGTACAGGTGTGCAGGAATTGCACCAGAGGAGATGCCGCTGCCTGGATTCTGTTCATGTATGGAGAAAAAATTCTCCTGAGGCATCCCAAGCTCTCCCTCTGCTTCCAGTTACCTGTGCAAATCCTTCCCTCAGTCAGAGAGTGACCCCTTGAACTACAGCTGGGTGCTCCTGGAGAAATTAAAGACAGCATGTGGGCACCAAAGCAAGAGGCATCCTGTTCCCAAGGGGAAGAAAGAAATTAAATTAATCTAATTTGCTTGAACAACATTTTAAAAAGCAAGGAATTCTCAACTCTGGGTATTAGACAAGGATACCAGTTCTTTGAAAATCACTAACAATTATGGAGCTGCCTGATCAGACTGATGTGAACAAGACATATCAAAGGAGACAGTTTCTATGCGAAATTGGAGATCAGAGGGAGAAAGAAACACGGTTTCACAACATGAAAGAAGGCGATTCCTGCAAATTAAAATACTCGGAAGTTAAAAGTGAAGAGAAGTGCTGTGAACGGCGTGGGCTGCATTTCCCAGCTGTGTGCTTAGAGAGGGGAGCTGGAGCCAAGAGCCTGTTCTGCTTTCCAGGCTACCTGCCTGCCACAGCCTCGGAGCCTTCTGCAGTCTGGCCATCCTGGGTAGTGCACGGGCTCCTCCAGAGCAGCCTTGCCCTGGAGACAGCCCAGGGAGAGCCTCACACATCATCTTCCCGTGGTGCTGCTGCTCGGGCCCCAGCGGTGTGAGCGCAGAGCTGGAGGGACCCACAGGCTGCTGCTGCTACAAGTCCCAGCTCCCTCCCACTTCTCCCTCAGCTTACCAGTGCTTTGCCCAGGAACAGGCAGCACAAAGGACAAGATGGACACAGCCTGTGAAAGCATAAACGGGCATGGCTGGCAAGGAGCTTTCTGCTCAAGCCTCCCAGGTTCAGCAGCTGGGAGGTAGATGGGGCTGGTCGTGGACCTGCTGTGAGATGTTCAGCTCCAGCTGCTATAGGAAGGGCTGTGGGTGCAGGGTATGGGAAGCTGCTGGGCCAGGGAGGTGAAGTTCAGGATATTCTTGTGGGAAGAGACCTGCCAGGCCCTTTTTGTGTGGGAGTGCTTCTTTTGTGGCATCGAGGCTGGGTGTGCTCATGGCTTTGTTGTGGTTGGTATTGATTATTGATATTTGCTGTCTCTGAGCTGGACAGAGCATCTCCCCTAGAGCTGTGGGGTATTTCCATGAGAGTGACTGGGGAGTGTGCCTTGCTGCCTTCCTGAGTGTGGATGGAGGTGATCCCAGCTTGGTGTTGGCCAAGCAGGAGAACAAAGGCTGGAGAACTTAGGTTGGCTATTAGTGTATGAAGATCAAAGCCTGGGGACCTGCTGGTGGCCATGCCTGCTCTCAGCACCACTTGGATTCAGTAAAAAAAAGGGTGACAGGGTGTCTGGGATGGGGCCACTCCAAGGGCAGGGCTGCTGTCCAGTTTGGAGCTGTAGGGAGCTGCTCATTCCCTGTCTCTGCTGCTCTGAAGCCTTTGCTCTGCATCCCAGCCTGAAGAGTTAAGGGTGACCCCTTCTTCTTCCTCCTCCTGTGGTCTTGCCTTCCCAGACCTCGCTGGGGTTTGTGCTTGGGTGGTTTTTGTTCTCACTCAAGGCAGCTCTCAGCTGCACTCTCCATTCCCTGCCAAAAGCAGAGTCCCAGCTCCCAGAGGTGGGTGCCTTCCTGGGGCATGAAGAGGAATAAACCAAATACAGTCAGATCCGCTCTGTGACAGCAGGAGCAGATCAAAGGACATTATTTGCATAATGAAGGAGTACTAATTGGGAGGGAAAGTCATTTGATTTCCTAGTGTCTAAGAGGGAATAACAAATGAGAGAAGTGCACAAACTCTCAGAGTAACTGGGAGTGCTCTGCAGCACAGCTGCCCTTGCTCTGTGCTGGGGCCAGGGAAGTGTGTTTGTACGTGCTGCCTGAGACTCTGAGACTGAGGTGGACTAAAGGCTTCTTTGTTCCAGGATCTTGCCTTGGCAGTGGTCAAAGTGCATTCTTAGGAAGGAGGAATATCACACACAGGACATGTGATGCTCCTCTTAATATTCTCCCAGCCAGCATCTGTTTTCAGCTTGGAAATTTCTTTGGCTGTGGGTGGTTTCTGGGGGTTTAGTCAGCTTTAGTATCTGTCTTCCATGAACTCATCCAGACTCATTGTAAACCTCTGCAAAGGGAAAAGAAAAAGGATTGCTGTTGTTATCTGATGGATCAATAGTGGCAGATGCAGGATGGTCAGGAGGATAAGGGATTTGTAAAGGGCAGAGGTGGTGCCTGCAGCTAGCCCCAGCCTCTGAGCCAGGCTGGAGAAGTCATTGTTTTCTACACAGGCATATCCTGCACTTGGAAGAAGCACATTCAGAATGAAAGCTGACCCAATAGCTTTATCTGGCCTCCCCTGGCACAGCAGAACCAGCTGCAAAACCAGCAACTGGCTTTTCTGGAGAAACCTGGTCTGGCCTGGGGCATCAGGAGCAGTAGTGCAGCTGCTGTGGGAGTTTTGCAGCCTGGCAGGGAGGGCAGCTGGGTCTGTAGAGGGTGGAGAGGTCCCTGCTCAGCCCCCAGAGGGAGCTGGGCTGGAGGCAATGCCCTGGAGTCACCCAGGCTGAGGAAGGCAGGGGCTCCTGGGGGGTATTTTCACTGACTGCCCTGTGCCCACAGTATGCATACCAAGGAGCAGTGTGTGTGCAGGATGGGGCCTGAGCTGCAAATCCTGTTTACAGCTTCACTGTCACCTCAGGGAGAGGCTGCTGGTCAAGAGCTTGCAGGCTGCTCTGTGCTGGCACCCCAGGCTCAGCCTCTGTGGATACCCCTGGGTGGATCTCTCCAAAACATCAGAGCTGAGCAGAATCCAGCACCAAAGGGAGAGACCTGCAGCTTCAGGAGAATGTAGGACGGGACCCAGCCAGCTGCCTTGGAACTGCAGGAGCTTCACCTTGTTACAGGAGGTGCTAAAATTAGCTGTGTTTTGGGCTCCTTTCCTGATCTCCCTGGGGTCTGCTTAACAGCTGTCTGCTGCACTCAGGTGTGAGCCCAAATCCAGCACATGGTGCCTCCTGTTAGACAACTCTGTTGGTTGCACAGGGTGGGTGTTGCAGCCCAGAGGTCACTTGTGGGGTCCTTGAGGAGCAGGCAGGGCCTGGAGTGAGGAAATGCCAGGGAAAGGCACATGGTTCCATCAGAGCATCACTCCTCCCTTGGTGCATTTCACTCTCATTTCTCTGTGTAGCACCATGTCCAGATTAGAGGCGATTTGGCTGTACAGACAGAAACTTGGGGTCAAGCCCTGACTCCAGCACAAAGCTGGCTGAATACAGAAGTGATTATTGTGAAAAGAAATTGTTTAATCTCCGTGCTGGAAGCAGAGAAAAACACTTTGTTTACCATACAGCCAGAACACTTGCAGGCAATCGGATTTCCCCCCCCCGCCCCTTGCTAGAAAGTGCTGAAGTCGCTTCTGTGTATCTGGAAGCTGCTGGGAGCTGGGGCTTCCCTGTCTGTTTGTCCTTGGTGAGGGGAGTCCTTCCCCTTCTGCACTGTGCTCTAGATCACGGGACAGGCTCCACACACTCCCTGCTCAAGTGAGGACCTCATCCAGGCTGCCTTTGGCAGCCCCCCAGGGAACCTGAGCCTCTCCATGGAGTGCTGTGGTTTGCTCCCCATGGCACCAGGCTTACCTGCTCCGTGCCAGGGGCTGGGGTGCTTTGTGCAGTGCCTTTCTCTGGCCAGACTCCCCAAAAGAAGTTTCACAGTAGCACATTGGAGCAATTGCACCCCGCCAGGTTACTGCCTTGGGGCTTGTCCTGCGGGGTGAGAGGGCTGTGCAGTGAATCTCCTCTGGGCCTGGCTTCCTACCAAGTCAGGATGTTCACAAGATTGCAAGAAACTCACTTCTGCTCCAGTAATTTTTAAGCTACTCTAGTTCTTTTTTTCAGAATGTGTCTGGGGTGCATCAGCCACTGTAGGTGTTTGGGGCCAGAGAAAAGCTGTAAATTGCATTGTTTATAAACTCCCACCTGCCTCCTGCCCCATGGCACCCAGGCACCTGGGATGAGTGTGCTGCACGCTGGCATCAGGCCAGGGAATGTGGCTTTGCATGACACAGCGCTCCTTGCAAGGTCCCTGGTGTTCTGCAGGGCTGAAGTGCCCGTGTGCTGTCCTGGAGCTGGCCAGATCCACACAGAAATAGCTCTCAGCATGGCCAGAAAGAGTCCCTGGTCTCTGCCCGACCTGAAGGTGGCATCTGAGCCCCAGAGCTGGTCTGGAGAGCATATGGAGCAGAATCCAGCACCACAGAAGGGTGACTGTGCCATGAGGAGGGACAGTAAAGTTTAGCAAGTGCTGGTTTTTCCTGCTGCTCATTTGCCTCTTTGCCTGCCCAGAGCCTGGCTGTACTTCTGTCCCTGGGGAAGTGACAGGTCCCAGCCACTTGCTTGTGGATTCAGTGCAGGGCCTCTCTGCTCGTGGATGTGTTTGGAGTTTGCCTGTCAACGTTTCTTTTAGCTGAACGTGTTTGGAGTGAGTGGCATAGCAAGTGGCCTGGAGCTCTCAGCCTTCTTCATGCAGGGTTTCTGGGACTGGCCCCAGAGGCTCTGGATCCTGTGGGAAGGCAGTCACAGATGCCAGGACAGGCCTGCATTGGCATTCCAGAGGCGCCCTGCAGAGCCCCATCCATCCCACCAGGGCACTGGGCTGAGCTGCTGCGCCCTGCCAGCCCTGGGGACACTCAGCATGGCAGGGTGGCTGTGGGGGCTGAGCTCTGCCCTCCAGGGAAGGGACCCTGCAGGGACACAGCCCCTGCATGCCACAGCTGCTGGGGCACCACGGGCACCTCTGGGTGTGGGCAGCCCCTGCCTGCCCTGCTGACCCTGCTCACAGCAGAGGGATGCTGCTGGCAGGGCTCAGGGCTCAGGGCTGGCCCTGGCAGCTCTCCAGGATCGCTCAGGGAGTGGAATGGGGACAGCCCAAGCAGGGCCCGTGGGGACAGAGGATGGCTGGCAGACACAGTCAGCTAGGCTGAGGGAAGTACTGCTCTGGAAGTGAGGGTCTTGCTCCGCCTTCCTTCTGGAGGAAATCAGGGTTTGTTTGATCTGCTGTGCCAGACCTCACCTTTGCAGAGGGAGAATAAGAGATGGATTCTGACCTGTTAATTTTTATGTAAAATTGTTGGTTTCCTCTGATCTGTGGAGTGAGCTTGTCAGGGGAGGAACCAAGGTCTTCTCTCGTTTTACATGTCTAATTATCTCTCTGGATATGGGCTCAGGCTTCTTGGTTATGGGAGGCGGGTGATAGAGTACATGATGGATGTTTAGATTTTATTTAGTGTATCTTTTATGGCTAAGGCATGTGCCAGAAAACTAAATAAAAGCTGTACATTCTGTACTTGCTGTGGGCAGTGCTGTGCTTGGAGAGCAGGGACTAATATTGGAGCAGGGTGGGAGCCAGGCAAAGCTTATCTCTGCAGGAAGGGGGGGACCAGGTTAAGCTGAAATGGAAAACCACTGCTCTTCACATGGAAACAGAATGGGAGGGAGGGGTGGGAAAGGCATAAATGGAGGTTAGGGGAGGATGCTGGAAAGTTAAACTAGTAAATTCCTGATACTCTTTAGGTGACCTTGAGCAGGCATTTTTGCAGACAAGAAGTCAAGGCACAAAGTGGGGTCAGTGTTCCCTACCTGGCTGATGTTGCTCTTTTGTTAATGAGATGCTGTGAGGGCAGGTGGGGAAGGGCAGAGCCTTCATCACCTCTGGCATTGCTGGCTGCAGCCCAAGGGCACTGTGCCCCATCTCTGCCTCTGAGTGAAGGTGTCTTGCTGCAATGCTCCTCATGCTGCTTGGTTTCCCTTGCCTTAGAGCAGAAAACTCTGGTCCCAAACATGGGGCTCACCCCTGGTACCTGGAGCTGGATCTGCTGCCCTGTTGCTCCAGTTCTTGGGAGTGCCCAGCAGCTGTGGGCCACAAGCTTTCAGTGCTGGCACAGGAAGCCTGAGAGCAGCAGCCTACCTCACCTGTCCAAGGCATGGCTTGGAATGGTGACACAGACCGTGCTCTGCGTGGGCACAGCTGGTGCCTCCTCTTCAGACTCTGCAGTTTGGCAGCATCCAGGTAAATACTGGACCACAGGGAGTACAGCTGTGTCTGACAGGGATGGGTTAGGAGGTGAGTTATGCAATTGCATGAATGCATCTTGAGATGTGGAGTCTGGTGCGAATGTTCAGTGGCCAGCCTGTCTCTCATGATCCCTGGTTTGGGATGACTGCACAAAGAGGGCTGGAACAAGAGGCTGTGCTGTGGTCCTTGAGGCACCTTCTCTGTCTGCAAATGTGCAGTCCTGACACAGGGTATACAGGGCAGGGGCAGGGAGGTAAACTAGTGGGCTTGGGTCCCTGTGGGTGAGGTTTGAATCTCCTAACCCTCAGCAGGAACAATTGGTTCTTGGAGCAAGGGATGTTTGTGCAAAGTCAGGGTCAGCAGGCTGTGCTGCAGGTGCAGGAGTGGGTGCTGCTGTGGACACTGGGCTCTCAGCTGATTGCTGCCAGGCTGTGCCCTCTCTTGTTCCCATGGGCAGGTACTGCTTTCTGTGATTCTCAGACTTGGCACCTCCAGCATCCCTAGGAGGCTTCTCTACTGCAGCTGGGAGAAAGATGCTTGGGGACCCTGGTGTCATTTCCTTTCCCTGGTCCCTTTTTTTGCTTTCTGATCAGAAGCTTCCCAAGGGAGCACGCCAGGCTGCCCGAGGGAATGTGCAGTGCTGGTGTGGGAGTGATCTGCCTTGGCTCATACCTGCTTGAAGGAGTTGTGTTATGGCAGGGAGAGGAGGAGAAAATGCAGCAATAGTATTTCTTAAACAGTTGTTTGCGAGGCAGAGAGCCAGTGTTGCTGTGGTGTAAAATCTGGACGTGCCTGGCAGGGATGCACCATAACTTCACTGGAGACAGCAAAGCATAAATAAGTTGACTCAAACTAGCTTGTTGCTGAAGACTGATGAGGGGGATTCTCCTGTTATCAGCAGAGCTGCAGCTCTGAGAAGGCTGCCAGGGAGAATGAAAAGCAACCATGGTAACTGCTCATTTCCCTCAGTGAACACCCTTTCCAGGAGATCAGAGTGAACTGGACTGGGGGAGCATGTGCATCCCAGCTGCTCCTGTGCTGCCTCCTCTCCTGCCTGAGTCTGGGCAGGGCTGCTGCAGGAAATCCCTGGTTTGCCTGTGGCCTCTGGGCTTGTGGTCTGCTGACAAAGGCACCAGGGACTGAAGCTCCTCATCCTCCTCTGGATGGTTTCAGCTCCATATCTGCCTCCTGTGACACAGGAACAGAGGCTGTTTTTGTCTGACTGCTGCCAGTGCTTGACCTCTGGGCAGGGATGCACCGAGTCTGCTGCTGGAGATGAAACAGGGTAGCCTGTCCTCACAGTGCTTTGGTCACACCACCTCCTTTCTCAAGGTGTCTGTAGGTAGGGGTAGGCTTCCCTTCTTTTCTCCCTTCTGTTGTCTCTCTCTAGATCTAAGTCCCTTTGCTCCTGCCCCCACCCTCATGTCCTGGGTCCTGCTTTTGTTAAATTGAACATGATGTCAAATTAAAGCCGTCACAGGGACAGTTGGAGTGAAGTACCCAGTTTAATGAGGCAGCCTTGAAAATCAATAACTTAATTGCAGACATTTGATGGACTTTTATCCAATTTATAGTCCTCCTGCCCTGCTACGTGTAGAGCATGAGGACCTGGTGCTATGTCTGGCTCTGGGCAAGCAGTCCTCTCCTGGGGCTGCTGTCCCTGTGCAGGTCTGCCTGCTGCAGTGTGGATTAGGCTCCAGCTGGGTGGTCCCTCTGTGGTCTGGAGGTGACCATGTCAGTCTATGCTGACAGGAAGGGCAGGTGTCAGTATGACATCCCCAGCTTCTTCCCAGATGGTCCAGTAGAAGGCTACTGCGAGAAAAGCTCCCAGCTTCTCAGAGCAGTGATCTCCTGGAGAGCAGGTCCTGTTGAGGATGGCCCAGGATCCTGTCCCTGGTGCCACTCTGCAGCACACCAGAGGCATTTGTGTCTGGAGTCCTGGCTTTCAGGCGTTTGGCAAGGAGGTGATGCTGCATTTGCACGCAGCTGTTCTCTTTTCTCTCATCATTTGCAAGCAATCAGTGTTGGGCCCTGCTCTGAGGTCTGTGCTGCTCTTCTAAACTCCTGCCTGACTTTGTTTTCCTCCTTGTCCCTGCTGCAGGCACCTCTGTGATGCAGGTGATGGCCTCTGATGCCGACGACCCCACCTATGGGAGCAGCGCCCGGGTGGTCTACAGCGTGCTGGAGGGGGAGCAGCACTTCACTGTGGACAGCAAAACAGGTGAGCAGCACCCAGCTGGGCTGGGCCACGAGATCCCACAGTGGCTGTGGGTCCTGGGCATGACTGCGAGCCAGCAGATCTCTTTCTCCCTGCTGGCCACTGGTGCTGGAAAATGCTGGGGTACTGCTGGTACTGCAGGGCTGTTGGAGAGGAAGCTCAGCAGCCGTGCTCAGGTTGCTGCCCAGCTCCATGCCCTTCCTGCAGCAGGCAGGATCTGCAGCTGCCTGCCCACAGTGCCTGGTCTGCACCTGCACTCGCCAGAGCTCCTCTCTGCCTGGAGCAGGAATGCCCCCACAGGCACATAAAACTTCAGTGGAGAAGGTTTAAATACTACCAAAGGGGCCTTACCAAAGGCTGCATCATTATCACCAGGGCTTTGATTAAAGGTAACACTTTAAATTAAGGATAGGTTTATAAATGTTCTATTAATATTTAATGAAAGAACAGTAGAAGCTGCTCCATTCCTTAATAACTTATAATAGAGCCTGTTGTAAAATGCCTCTGTAATAAATCCCTGGCAGATGATGCTCTGACATACTGGTTAGAGTAGAGCATAACCAGGAGATGTTGGGGTATATATTCTCCTTGCCTCCCAGGAGTTTGACTCTCATTACCCTTAATGAGAGCCTCACAAGCTTGCTAAGAAGGGAAGACACTCAAATGCTAATAAGGGATATTTAAGGCGCAAAGCATGCAGTAAAGTGCCCATAGTTTAACGAAAATTTGTCAAAGGACAAGCAGGCCAAGGAGCTGCAGCTTGTCTTGGAAAACTGGACAGCAAAGTCCTCCCCACCCTATTGCTGAACCACAGTGGCATGAACTGAGATCAGCCCCTGGGCTGAAGTACCACATCTCTGTCAGGCTGATCTGTGTCTGGGCTGATATTTTCTAAGGCTGGAATTTGTTTGGAGATGCTGCTGTAAGGAGAGTGTGAAGAAGGTCTGTGTGCCTGAGCCTCTGCACCTGCAAGAAACCCTCCACCTGCTGACAGTGCTCTGGGGCACATGGGGAGGCTGGGCCCAGCCCTGGCTCTGCCACCAGCCTGGCTGCTGCTGGAGGAATGCTCAGATTTGGGAGTTTGGGAGCTCCTGCACACACCTGACAGCAGCACTGTGGCATGTGCTGGGAAATGCCTTTGTCTGGACTGAGGCTGGTGCAGTGGGGAGAGGGCACAAGCAGCAGGTTGGGACTGTACCCACCCCTTGCTCAGGAGCTGTTGCACCTGGGCTCTCTTCTCTCCCAGATTTGCTTTGTTTTATATTGTGTGTGTAGGAACAATAGGCTAAACACTGAAAATTCAGGTGCATGTGAGATCCTGTTAATCTGAGACAGCTTTGTGAGAGTGCAAGTCTGGCTGCTGGAATGGAGAGGGACCACTGGGGACAAACTGCACAAGCCAGGACGTGCAGAGGCTCAGCTTCCTGCCACATTAATGCTCTGTATTAAAGCATAAACTAAAATGTGCCCTGTGGGACTGTGGTGAGAATTAATGTCACTCTGGGAATCCAAGCTTCTTGATTCCTTGACTTTTTGTGTCTTAATTCTCAAGCTGGCTGTTTCGTACATTGGGGGGTTGATTTACTGTTCTACTTGCTTGTGTTTCACAAAGGCAAAATTGCTGACAAGTCTGCAGAAGACTCCAGCCCCTCTTGAGCACATCTGCTTGCAGGATATCTGGCTGCTAACACAGGTGTTGGGGCTGACTCTGGGGGTCTCTGAGCTCCAAATGGCCTGTGGCAGCTGCCTCAGCAGCACTGCAGGAACTGCAGGGCTGCAGCTCTGCCCATCAGCCCCTCAAGCTGTGGCTGCAGCCTGTCCTGTGCCCCCTGTCAGCGCTGGCCCATGTGGGTGCAGCAGTGCTGTGGGGGCACAAAGTGTCATCATACCCACCCAAGCACACCCCAACCTGCTCCCACTCTTGTTCTGTCAGAATAAGTCTTTATGCTGCACAGGGGAATCCAAGTCTGATTGCCCGAGGTGGCCCAGCTTCTGCCCTGAGCATAAGATTTAATTATCCATAGCAGCAGCGTAGCTCTCAGAGCCACCATTGTTATTAATGGCCATAAAAGGAACCATAAAAACTTGGCATGTTACATTTCTTATAATATATGATAATGAAGAACAATTTGATTTCCATTTTTGGTTTTGACCTCCTTCTCTGCTGTTTCTTGCAGGTGCATGCATGCATGTGCTGCCTTGCACACCACCTCAGCCCCTGACTCCTTCCAGCACAGGTTCTTTCTTCCCCCCTTGTCTTGTGCTCTTTTCACACCCTCCTTCATAGCACAGGTGGGGCATGTACAAACATGGTTTCCACACTTGAGTACAGAACATGGACCGTGTGTAGCCCACTTTGTCTCCTGTTCTTGGATGTTTCCAGCTCTAGTGTTCAGCTGGGATTTTGTATTCAATGGACCTTTCACAGTTTGAAAGTTTGGGCAAACCCAAACTGACTGGCTGCTGTGCTGTGCCAAGTCCTGCCATTCAGTAAGCCCTGAGTGCCTGTAGCATCTCGGGTCTTTTCGGAGGGAGACAAGCATTTAAATGGCTCCACTGGAATAGTGGGAACAGCAGGATGGCATTTATGCTGTAGGAAGATTCCAGAATTGAATGATGGTGAAGAGAAAGCACAGCTGATGCACGAGCTTTTCTTTCTTTCATATACAGCAGCCACTCTCATGCTTTGAGATTAGTTTCACAGACTGAAACTTGTGTTGTGTACACCAAATCAGGTTCAAGAACTTCACCTGTGTTTGCTGGAGGTCAAGGCTGGCTTTTTTTTTTGTGTGAGTGGGGAGCTTTATATGCATAAGCTTTTGAGGCAAGGTTTTCTTGCCAGCTGTAAGAATATCCCCATGGCTTGTTGCAAGAGCCTGCAGGCATTAAGCTTTGTAAGCTTTGTGCTGCCTTCCTCGCTCAGACAGGGTGCAGCCAATCTCTGCTCCTTGCAGCAGGTGAGCAGCAGTGCTCGTGCTGTGGCTGCCCTGATCTGCTGAGGAGGCTGTGCTCTCACAGCAACCAGCACACAGCTCTGCCCTGCTGCTTCCAGCGGGAAACAGCCTCTTCTGCTGCTGTGCTGGGTGTTGGCTCTGGGTGAGAGCACTAATCTGACAGCAGAATCCCCCTCACTGCTGCTGGGCCACGAGCCCAGCTCTCCCAAAGTTACACAGGGTGGGAGGTTTAGTGGCAGCTCCAGTTCCAGCTCCAGGAATCTCATCCTCACCAAGATCTTTCAAGCTTATTCTTTTCCAATATGGAGATGTGCACCTGAGTGTGGGAACTCTCAGTGCATTTACATGAGAGGAGAAATTTGTGCATTTAAATCCACAGACTATGTTTTCATGCTGCTTTATATCACCCTGCATTCTCTGTACCACTGCAGATTCACCTTTATAGGGGCAAATCTCTCTTTTGGCAGGCAGCTGTGCCTGCCTACTCGTGTCTGTTCCCATGTCCTTTGCAGTGCCCTTTATTATCCCTGGGCAGTGTGGCTGGAGACTCACTGCTGCCTGTGATCCCTTGCACACTGCCTTCCTTGGGAGGGAACCTGAGACTGCTCAACACCCCACAGCCTGGTGTCCCTATTTCCAGCAGTCTTGTTCATCCCTTTGTGGGGATATTGAGTGTTATAGAGCAACCACAGTGTGTAACACCATAGATTTCATTATGTTTGCTTCCTTAAAAGCCAGCTTGTCAGTTTGGGGCTGTGCATGGGAGCCTGGCTTTTTACCGTAAGGAAGAGGTTGTTCTTCAAATCTGTCACTGCTGGATGCAGGGAAAAGGCAGAACTCAGAAGGTATTTGAAATGCATTCTGGCATTTGTGATGACTTAAACCAGCTCCTGAGTTCTAGAGTCTGTGTCCTGATTTAAAGACTGAGCCATAAGGGCTTGGAGCTTTTGATGCCAGGGAGAATGCAGATGCTGGCCTGCTGGGATGAAGCTGATGGTTATTTGTGTGCTGATGGTTATTTGTCATCCCTACCTGCCAGCCTTGCTGTGTTTGGAGACAGACCTGCCCTGGTCCTGGGGCAGTAAGGCTGGGCTGGGAGAGGAGTTGTGTCTGGGAGGCTGCTGCACACTGAGCTGGGCTGATGAGCTGTTGATCTGTGTGATGTGGTGGTGGGAGGCAGAACAAGTTCTCTGCTGCTCTTCCCAGTTTGTTAAAAATGCTCCTTGGTGCCTGGAAACACAGATGTATCAGCACACGTGTTCCTGTGTGGCCAGAGGTTGTGCAGGTCTGTGCCCCATCCCTGTCCCTTATCCACCAGAGCTGTGCACAGGCACAAGTCTGAGTGTAAGGCACAAGAGTCTGCAGAGAAACCACATTTATTTAAGAGGATTCCTCCTGTTAGCAAGACTGAATATTAACAGCCCTTTTCTGAGACTGGTACAGGAACTTCAGCTGATTTGGGACCAAATTGTATGTTTGGTCATCTTGAAGAAATTAGAGTGTGTCTACTAATGTGCTGAGGGAATTAATGTTAAGTGATGAGGGACTTAGCTGCTAAAAGAAGGGACAAAGGAAGGGTGAGTGTGCTGGCTCTGCACTGGCATGGGCAAGGCTGATTGCAGCCTGGAACAAGCCCTTGTTAGGTGCTCCATGAACCTCCTGACCCTTTGTGCCTCATACTTCACTCAGAGCACCTTTAGCTTCTGCCTCTCAAATTGTGCTGAGCTGAAGGACAGGATGGGGGCTGGAGGGAGACTGAAGTGCTGGTTCTTGGAGCCAAGACCTCTTCTGCAAGGGCTGACCTCCTGCAGGATGTGTGCTTCCAGCAGGACTCATGTCTTGGCAGATATATTGGTATTTCTGTGTCCCTGCAGGCAGGTGAGGGCACAGGTGAGGAATCTGCAGTCAGTTTGGCAGGTGTCTTGCCATTCCTGGCCTGAGGCAGAGATGGGTTTGATCTAACTGACCAGGCTGCTGGCAGAAATTAATCTATTTTATCCAGCTAAATAGGAGAGGGATAGAGAAGACAGACCCAGATTCTTCTCAGGTATGCACACTAAAGAGACCCAAATGGCAGGAAATCAAGGCTTGTCACCATGATGGTGGCGCTTCCATCCCTGGAGATACTAAAAACTTGATTCTTTAGGCCCAGAGTAATCTCATCTGCCTTTGAAGACTGCCTGCTTTGAGCTGTGATGGATCAGGAAGCTCCTTAGGATAGGTCCCTGTTTGTTACTCCATGACTTTCTGCCTTGTTGCTCCTGCCCTCAGCTGGAAGGTGCCTTGTCCAGGCAGTCTCTGAGGATGTGGATATCTGACCTAAAAGTACCTGAGAGCAGAGCAAAGCCCATCATGATGGGATTCCTGGAAGGCAGTTACCTGCTGAGTGCTTTGTCCTGCTTTGTTTTTGTCACCCGAGGAGAGTCTGCTGTTGGAGCAGATTCAGTGGTATTTATGTGATGCTCTAAGTGTCCCTTGCCTGGTAATTATACTGATTAATCTGGATCATGCTGGAAAGCCACATCTGCCTTGTACCAGAGGGTATGCCACCATGTGTCCACATTATTCAGCTATAACAGATAGTGACAAGAATGGGGGAGACAAGTCTGAGCTCGAGGTTGTTCTTGCTTTGTTAGCAGTGTCTGGGAAAGACCAAGTTTGTCAGTTTTTCCAGCTGGAAAGAAGGTGAATCTTGGGAGATGATAGCAATGACTTTTCTGTGCTCTCTGTACAGCCTTGAGGAAGGTCTCTCTCCATCCCTTGCAGCTTCTTTGCAGAGAAGAAACCTGGGGGTCAGGTTTTGGGAGCAGAGACTATCTTGGCTCTGGAAGATGGGACCATGTGGGTTTGCTGCTGGTGGGTGTTTGAGGCAGTGCCACATGGCTGTGGGGCTTGTGTGGAGACCCTGATTTGCCATGGCCATTAGCAAATGGTGGGCAGGACCTGGGCCTAGGAGACAAAGCCAGCCTGACTCCTGGACTGGTGGCCTGGTGTGGCCTATGCAATTTGGGAATAAAATCCCAGTGACAATCCTGATGGGCTCCTGGAGGTCTGGCAGTTTGTCTGCAGCAGATCCCCACCTTTCCAGGATGGACTGGACACACAGCACCATGAGAGGGAGCTTCTGATCAGTCTCCACCCTTGCCACAGGCAGAGATTTTGTCTGCCTTGTGCTGCTGGAAGAACAGGAGCTGTCTGGGGACATTTGCCCTACTCTGCATGTGCCAAACGGCCTGGACTTGCTCCCTCTTGGGACGAGTGACCTTGGAGGTGTTCTGGGAAGTGCCTGAGCACTTTCCTCCCATCTTGCATGGCGTATTATGAGCTATATCATTACAAGCAGCTCAGTTAAGTCATTACAGCCTTGGTGAATGCATGAGCTTTTTCCCTCTCATCCCAATTCATCACTATTGTGCTGACATGAATCATTTTCATTATAAAATGCTTCAGACCCTGTTAATTAACAGAATTGCTTAAATTTCAATGAGATAGTGCTGGCCCAGAAATAACGGTTTTGTGTTCACGGGGAAGTGGCAGGAGAGGCCTGTCAGCACGAGCAGCTGGGGCTGGCCCCTGAGCCCTGGGTGTCTGTGCAGGGCTGGCCCTGCTGCCCAGGTGGGAGGGTGCCATCCTTGCTGGGATGGTGCCATCCTTGCTGGGATGGTGCCATCCTTGCTGGGATGGTGTCCTTGCCTCCCTTTCGGGCGTCCCCTCTGCCTCTCTGTGCGAGGGGAACTGGGATTCCTTGCTGAATGGCTTCCTCTGAGCAGAGCAGGGTGAATGAGGGGGTCAGAGCTCACCCTGGGCCCCATCACAGGATAACCACCTGCTCCCTTATCTATGGGGCTGAAGGCAGGAGAGTCCAGGTAAAACAGAACCTGAACTGACAGAGGGACAAGGGAAGCTGGGTGACAATTGTGTCTATCCACAAGAGCTGGAGAATGGCAACGATCTGAAATGGTGGTTATGTCTTTATAATAAATCCTAACAATGCTAATCATTGGAATAATTGCTAGTTTCAGAAAGGAAGGAGTGATAAATGTCTCCTGAACAGTTTTGCCAGCTCCTGCTGCACCTGTAATGTCATGCAGAGGGCGAGGGGCAGGAATTTCATCCTCCCAGCTCAGTGGCATTTCTGGCTGCCTTTGGGCCACAGCACCAGTGGCTCCATAGTGTGAGCCCCTGTCTGGAGGTGCACAAAGCCACACCAGACACATGAATGGGGAAACTGGAAACCTTCTGGCTGTGGAGTAAAGATACCTGGTAGCCTTGGGGTCTATCCCTGTAGCCATACCTTGGCTCCTTGCAGCCTGCTGGAACTCAGCTCCCCCTCTGCTGTGCTCTTGGTGACTTGGACCTGTGGTGCTCTAGCACTGCTTGATGTGCTGCACATCACCAAATGGATTGCAAGGTGCTCAGGCCACTGGATGATTCTCTTCTGTTTGCTCAGCAAGAGGGGAGCTCCCTGTTCCCTCTGGGTCAGACCCCTCAGTGGGGACCCGTTCCAGCAGCCTCCTCCAGTCTGTCCTTAGCACCAGGCAGGATTACTGGTGAAACAAAGCAGAGATGAATTTGCAGTTCACAGTAGGAGGAGGTAAAGCTGATAGTTAAACAGAAAACGCTGGAAGAGAGAGGATTTACAAAAACATAAACCAATGTCTAAATCTGTGGGAATGTTAAAAAACTGCGCTGGAGGGGATTTTAAGCTGATTCCTGTCTGTTATAGGCTGCTGCTGGTACAGTGGGACTGGAATGTGTTGCTAATGACCTTGTATCCATGTAGGCACTCCTTCCTTCCTGACCCTGGTGTCATGTCAGGCCAGAGTCTTTTCTTTCTTCCTTTCATCCTCAAATTTTTTTTCCCTACTTTGTTTCCATTTAAATGAAACAGTCATGGGTGACTGATAATTTCTGCCATGCACAGAGTTTTCAGGCTTTTACTGCTCTTTGTTTCTTGTTTTACATTCCTTTATATTTTAGTCCTGGTCATTTCCCCAATCCCAGATGAATACTGGAGACCTATAAACACTGATTTTAAGAGAGTTACTTTTGTAAGAAGTAGTACCATACCATTCATTTTGTTGAGCTCCAGTGCATTCTCTGACACAGAGCGTGTGTTTTGTCGTCTCTGGTCTCCTTAACTTAGAAGGACACTTGAAAATAAGGGATTTTGTGCAGACAGACTTTTAGAAGTGTGCTGCCTTCCCCCCTATTCTCCACATCACACAAGTCCTCCCAAGACATGCCCAGGCCATGGTACCTGGTAGAGCCTGGGCAGGGGCACCCCTGTTCTCTAAGGGGTGCTGCAGCAAGCCTGGCTCCTGCTCAGCAGATCAAGATAAGTGGGTTCTTGCAGATCTGTGCCAGAAGGGTTTTGTGACTCAGCCTGGGTTTTTACAGAGCAGACCTTGAGGCTGACCCCAGCACAACCCCCGCATGTGGATGGGGGTGAGGATGAATCCTCTCTTCTCCTGCCCCCACCAACCGTCTGACCTCCACAGATCTTTCACCCACCTCCCAGTCACCCTGGAGGAAAGCACAAACCTCCTCTGTGCCAGGGTTTAACCCGGTGGGAGCTGCAAGTAGCCCTCAGGAAAAGCAGCAGTTGGGACTCTTTCACGCTTCATGAGGAGACTTGCTGGGAGCAGGTTGGGCCTGTGGCCATTCCTGGGCTTCAGGAGGATTTTTGGGATGTTTCTGGCTGGCTGACAACCTCCTGGGCTTGCTCCTCTCCCCAGTGCCCTTCTCTCCCCTTAGTTGCTTTTGCTCACGTGGTCTCTTGCAGAGGGTTCAGCAGACACTGTTTGTGGCCAGCAGTGTGTTCCTGAGGCAGAGGCAGCCAGCAGCACCAGGGCTGTGGCTGGGGAGAGTGTCCCCAGCAGTCGCGGGAGGTGACAATCCCTTCTTCTGTGCACTGGTGAGATGCAAGTGCTGTACCAGACAGCAGATACGATTCTGTGGGCCTACCAGAGTGAGTCCAGGGAAGGGCCATGAAGGTTGGTGCAATACTGGAGCATCTGCCCCGTGTGAGGAGGGAGATCCAGCTGATCCTGTTTAGGTCTGGATCTTGTCCAAAGTAATCTCCAGTGGCTCTGTGGCCTGCCTGTGCTCAGCTGTGCTGCTGGTTTCCAGGTGTGATCCGGACCGCCGTGGCAGACCTGGACCGTGAGACGCAGGACCGCTATGAGGTGGTGATCCGTGCCACAGACATGGCAGGACAGCTGGGTGGCCTGTCTGGATCCACCACGGTCACCATCGTGGTCACTGATGTCAACGACAACCCGCCACGCTTCCCTCAGAGTGAGTCCTGCTGCCCATGGGGGTGGGCTCTGGGGCACGTCCTGTTCCTGTGGGTGGTGGGATGGAACCTGCAGGCTGAGCCAGCCTGGCCACTCCAGCTGCTGGCAGGGTGGCAATACCAAAGGTCCATGGCACACACAGCTCCTGGCCTGGGTCTGAATGTGTTCCTTCCTGGCAGCACAGAGGGTGCCAGATCCCCGCTCCAGTGCAGGGCCTGGAAGCAAGCATGGCCTGCATGGCAGGAGAGCAGGGCCAGCCCTTTCCTGAGCCTTTCCAAGCAGCTGGAAGCCAGCAAGGTCCACCATGCTGCTGTCCCCTGGGAGCTGGGGCAGGAACTTGGCTGCTGGCCTGGCCTGTCCTGGCTGCTGTGTGAGAGCTTGTCACACCCTTGCCCCAGCGCGAGGACAGTGACACTGCCCAGGGGCAGCAGCCTTGTCACAGCACAGCTCTGCTTTCCAACTTGCTGCTAATGGCCTGTGGCTGGTGCTGGTGTCTGATCTGGGAGCCTCCCCAGACAAGGTGCAGGGTGATCCTGCTGTGAGGAGTGGGCTGTGAGGGCTCTGCAGTGCGCTCCAGCAGTGGCCTGGCAGCTCACGGCAGGGCAGGGCAGGGTCTGCAGCTGGGGGAGGCTCAGCTCTTGGGCTGCATCTCCTGGAAATCAGAAATTGCAAAAGAATCTTTGCAAGGAATCTGAGAGCACTGATTGCAGGGCAGTGTCCACGCAGAGAAATCAGCCCTTACTTCACACAGCACCTGGAATGTCAGTGCTCCCCAATTATCTTCCCTCAGCCCTTGTTTTTGGCTGGTGTATTTACTTCTCCTGTTGGGGCATTCTGGACCGTAGACACGGTGGGGTTTGAGCAACCCTCCCAGCCCAAAGGTGCCCCAGGGAAGTGTGTGAAGGGTGGGGGCAGTTCAACGGCAGAAGCAGTGACCTTGGTGCCCATTTCTCCTCCAGAGATGTATCAGTTCAGCATTGTTGAAACGGCCCCCGTGGGCACTGCCATCGGGAGGGTGAAGGCAGAGGACTCTGACGTCGGGGAGAACACGGACATGACATATCAAGTGAAGGATGAGGAAGGGGTGGAGATGTTCAAAGTCACCACCGACAGCAACACCCAAGAGGCTGTCATCACAGTACAGAAGGTGAGAGTGTTGATTGAGTAGGGAGGGCACAGCTCCCTAGGAGGACCCTTTCCTTTGGGGACTGCTGCTGTTGAATCTGAGTTGAAGAAAATGGTCTGAGTGCTGCTCTAGCAGTTACAGTTGCATTTTTGTGCCTGCTGATGCAGGGAGAGAGCTCTGCTCTGGCTTCATGGCAAAACACAGGGCTGTGTCTGGGAGAAAATGCTGAAAAGAAGCAGCACATAGTGCCTGCTGGAGTCCCCCAGCTTGGGAGTGGCAGTGAAGCAGTGAGCTGTGCAGAGGAAGCACCATGCATAGAGAGGAATGCTTACAGCTGTTATTGATAGCACCTGTTAGAGGAGAAAAATGCCCACCTAATTCCTGTACCTGACCAGCAGCACTTTAACTGTATCTGCTTTTGGTGGCAAAAACAATCAAGCAAATACTTGGTGCAGGCAGGGAAGAATGATTGTTCTTCAAGGCCACTGTATGCAGCTTGCCTCCCCTGTAGAAATAAGAGCAGGGTGATTAATGATGAGAACTCGCTCATGTGCAGCACACACTGTGCTGTCTTCCCAGTGAATCCTGGCTGCTCACAGCTTGGGCACCCTGTTGGGGGCCTTGAGGGGAGTGGGCTGGAGGCTTCTGCTTCCTCCTGCCCCCTTGGTGTGGGTGCTGCTGGCAGAGGGGAAAGCAGAAGCCCCCAGGCTGCTACAAAGGTACTGCTTGGGGGCAGGTAGATTTGTGGCTCTAGTGCTGCCCCGATGTCTCCGGTGAAGGAAGGGGCAGCAGAGGGGCTCCTTGGGCTGGCTGTGGCTTACCCTCTTCCCTTGTCCCAGCCTCTTGACTACGAGTCAAAAAAAGTGCACACTGTCGTGGTGGAGGCCCTCAACAAGTTCGTGGACCCACGGTTTGTGGACCTGGGCACCTTTCGGGACCAGACCATCGTGCGGGTCTCAGTGCTGGACGTCGATGAGCCCCCCGAGTTCCGGCCCCCCTCCAACCTGATGGAGGTCCAGGAGGATGCACACGTTGGGTCTGTCGTGGGGGTGGTCACTGCCCTGGACCCGGACACAGCGAACCACCCTGTCCGGTAAAGCACCGCCCCACCCTCACATCAGCCAGTCCAGCAGTGGGCATGGGGTCACCTGCAAGGGACACATGGCCTGGGAAGGCTTGTGGCCATGGCTGGGGCGGAGGGGGTGGGAGAGTGCAGGTAAAAGTGGCAAGTGTGTGGCTGAGTGTGTGTGTCTCGTGGGACGGGCAGCTGGCAGGTGAGTGCAAGCTGCCACAGTGGTCTCTCAGGTGGCAGATACGTCAGTGACAGGTGACAGCTTTGTGAGTTCAAGGGAGTGCCAGGGAAGGTGGCTGGGTGATACCTGTGTGTCCTTGCTGCTGACAGCAAGGTATCTGCAGTGGTACCTGACAGCAGGAGTGGCAGAAGGACAGTGGTGAAGAGTGATAAATGAGGTGAGGCTTGGGAGGTGCAGAGCTGCAGCCCGACTCTGTGTGCGTGCATGTGTGCATAGGATCAAAGATCAGAGGAGTTTATTTTTGGGCAGGGGACATAATCCAGGCAGCAGCTTATCTGCACAGGACATTTCCCATTTCCATTTAATTTGTGGCTAAAGAGATTGTTACCTTGTTAAATTGTTATTACCTAAGGCACAAAGCAGCCTTCTGGCCCTGCCAACTGGCCTGAGTCACGAGCAGTTGGGTTGGAAATCTGGTGTTCAGAAAACATCCTCAACGTGTGGAAAATTTCCTTGAAATGTGTGTTCTGGTGCCAGGTGCCGGCGGGGCTGCAGGCGCCCGTGGAGCCGCTCACTTCCAGGGAGCAGCACTGGCTGTGACTGAGAACTCTGCAGGGAGTCAGCCCCGCAGCAAGAGACTGGGAAGGACAGGGATGGGGATGTGGGGTGGAGGGGGACAGGCCAGAGAGGGCTCAGTTACAGCCCTTGGTTGCATTCAGTGATGTCCCCCAGTGCCTGTTTGGGGCACTGAGCTCAGTGCTGTGTAACCATGGGTTTCTGTTTCATGGTAGGATGAGGAGGGTCTCCTGATCCTTGTGCAAACAAAGACTATGATGATTAGAAAGCTCAGAAATGGATTTACACATGGAAAGCTGCCATCTACAGATACCTGGCAGCTAGCAGAGAATAGTGTGTCACAAAGCTGGATGCTCAAAGTTGACTTTGGGGGGAATGTGAATGAAATCAGCCTTGGTGTGCCAGGAACTGTGTATGTGAGTGCTGCACCACTTGCACTAGTGGCTGCTGAGTGCCGAATGTGTTCTCAACATACGTCTGCTCACCTCATCTTGTGATTCTCCAGTCCCTCTCCAGTCAGGCTATGTGTCTGATTTCTTTTTTTGTTGCCCCTGAGCACATGTCTGCCAGCACACACCCTTCAGGAGAGTGGTGTGTCCACACACCTGTGTGCATGCACATGTGCATGTGCTTTTTCACTTGACTGTTTCTAGCAGTGCTGCAGAACATAGATTTTATTTTCTGATCTGTAATTGTAGAAAAGGGACCTTGGGGACAGAACTATTCTTATTCTTGTTTTTTCTTGTTCTTTGTGCTGCTTCCCTGTGGAGCTTGCTGCATTGTTTTCAGACATACCAAGAGAAAGCAGTGAAGGGAGAATCTTAATGCTGTACAGAAGGCACTGGAGACTTGGACCAGAGAGAAGCAGATTCAAGTACTGGGCAGGAACGAGATGGTGAGAGCCCAAACTTTGCTTTGGGAGTCTCTCCTACAGTGAGCTCAGTGTTGGCAAGGCAATGCCTCGTGCTCAGACACAAGGACCCAGCCAACAGGACTCCCAGGCATCTGCTGCAGCTTGGGAATTGTCATGTGTTCTCCCTTGGCAGGGCTGATGCATTCAAATACGTGTCCTGCCTCCAGCTATCCCCAGGCAGGGAGCTCATCCTGTGTCCCCCATGCTGCCCTGTGGGACTTGGTCCATCCCTTCACTCCCTGGTGCTGGCAGTCCCTGCTGTCATGAGCAGTGGCAGTGCAGCAGGGTGAGCCTTCAGAGACATTTAACATATACCCAGTGCAGCTGCAGGTTGATATTGGTCGTGCTGATGGAGCACCAATGCAAGAGGAAGGTAGAGTTGGATCTCTCCTGCTTCCCTGTCCTCTGGCGAGCCAGGTAATTTAATAAAATACTTTGCTGCGTAGGCAGCTGTTAACAGCTTCAAAGCAGTGCACAGACATTAATGCCAGCACCCTGCAGCACCAGGATGTGACACTAACCCGTCAGCAGGAAAGGCAATAAGTCACCTCTCGTTTCAAGTGTGCTGCTTGGAAGTACAGTCACAAGAAGCCAGCACTTGTACTTCACCTCTGATACGTTAGAGAGCACCTGGTCCTGACGGCATGACCAGCATTTGATCCTCGGTGCCTTGAAGTTGGTATGAGCCCTTTGAAGTTGCTGCAGTTCAGTGGATCCCTTTAACTTCCAGCTCCTCATCTGCCAGCGGTGGGAGCAGAGGCACGGCTGTGCTCCTGCCGGGGCTGCTCTCCCGGACTCGGGTCTGTGTGTTGGTTCTGCCTGTGAATAGGGGACAGCCACCACTTCTGTCAGTCGAGATGCACTCTCCCCTTGAGGCAGGAAAGAACAAGGATTGCCAGAGACAGCAGAGCAGAAATCAGCTCTGTCAGGGTTTCCTGGTCCTGCTGACACCAGGCTGCCAGTAACGAGGTTTAGGAGGTATTTTTAGCCAAACGGGAAGGGAGGTGCCCTTGGCTTTTTGTTTTCAGCTCCAGGCCAGCAGGAGCAAGGCTGTGCGACTCCTGCTGCGCTGCCCAAAGCAACTGCTAGAGGCACATTCCAGCCTGATGTTCCCCTGCCCTCCTGGAGATCCACGTGTCCCACAGGATGCAGCGACTTGGTTTGAGAACAAATCCCTTCCCACAAGCTGGACTGGGTCGAAGTGACCTGTTTCAAAGATGTGAGGATTGAAGGGGTGTCCCTGAGGCACCTCCTCACTGCCTCACTCCAGCTGCGCTCTGCCTGCAGAGCCCCTGGCAGCTGCTTGCCTTGGGTGTGAGGATGCACCTGGAGATCACCCCATCTCTCAGAGAAGGACACCCTCCCAGTGACACCCGTGCATGAGCAGGGAGCCATGCTGAGCCAAGCAGCTGTATGAACCCTCTGTGGGGCACAAAACCTTCGGTGGTACCAGTGTGGGCAATGCCCTCCTAAAGGTCTGGTTCTTTTTATTTTAGTCCATCCTCGAGGGGGTTTTTTGCCTATCAAAGGCTGGAACTGTTTCTTTTCAGAAAAAAAAAAAAATTCGTTTCCAGTTAGCTTTTTGGCTTTAGCTGTGTGTTTTCTGGGCGTAGTGCAGTTTTTCTCAGCTGAGCCATTGTATGAAGTAATACAGTGATAGACTGTCTGTGTGTGTGAGGCTGTTTGTATGGGAGCCTTTTGTTTCTCTCTCTGCAGTGGGAGCCTGTGCTCTGATTGTGTGCATTCCAGGCTTTATCAGCACTGGGAAGATGTTGCTTGGGATTTAAGGTTCTCAGAGATATTCTTGTCTGGCATTCACAAAATCTGGAGACACGTGTTGGACATGGGCATTTTATAGACTCCAACAGCACAGCAAGAACTACAACCTGCTTCAATACAAAAGGGAGAGGAGGAAAAAACAAACACAACAAAAAGCTTTTCATACAGTGTTTGAAAAGCTCCCTATTAACAAAACACATGGCATAAAATGTGCTTTTTCTTGTGTTCAGGGGAAAAGTGAAACAAACTGCTTGAGAAACGCATTCATGGGAAAGATGAGCACCGAGAAAGCTGTTGAAATTAAACAGTCACTTGTAGCATCCAAACCAACAGGCAGTGCCAGCAGGAAGAGAGGGAAATGGAGTACAAGGTCTGCATCCCAATCAGAGCTGGGGACTGCAGTTCTAGAGCACCAGGCAGCTGCAGGAGATGAGCATAGGTCCTGTCTCTGAGTCCCTGGAGGATGAGGGATTAAATGCTGCCTCTTCCCAGGTGAGAAGCACTGTTTGACTGCAGTGGGATGGGTGAATATGAAGCTGGAGTGGAGGTAGAGAGGCTGGTGGTGGAGGCTGTATTGCACAAAGTGATGTGAGTGAGCACAGCAAAGCATGGCTCACTCCAGCATGGGATGAGATGGAAGCTGTTGGAAGGTGAGCTCTGTTGTGAGATCTGCAGCTCTGAGCAGCTTATGGCTGTGGCTTGCAGGGCTTGATGGACATCCCTGTGCCACCCTCCCAGTCCCCAACTCCCACAGCAGCCAAGTACTCCAGAACATCCATGGCCTCTGGCACCTGCAGAGAGCTGCAGAGCCACCTGGACTGGCCACCTCCACAGGCACAGTGAGTGGCAGCAGAGTCAGTCAGGCCAAGGCAGTGTGCTGAGCTCTGTCTCCTTCCCTGGGGCACACTGAGAAGGTGACATTTCTCTGTAGCAGTGGTGGCAAAGGGATCAGAGTTGTGGTTTGGTTTGTGCCTGGCCATGGGGTACAGGCAGCATGTCCTTTACAGACTATTCAGAAGGGACAGAAGACAGTCTCAGCAACAAAGCTATGAGAAGCATAAGAACAGAATCCCAGTGGCATTACCCTGAACACTCCCTGCCATCCTCCTCCCCTCTGGCTGGCAGGCAGCCCTGTCAGATGTGTCCAGGCTTGGGGGTGTCTCCCATCACTAACTGGGTTTTTCTGTGTGGATTTTAAAATATTTTTTTCTGATGTCTCTGTTTATGACAGAAGTGTGATCAAAACAGCCATGTGCTTCTCTGAGAGGCAGGGAAGCCATGGGGAGGGTGAAGTACCATCTTGAACTTAACAGCATGAAAAAGTGGAGTGGAAGGCAGGACATGTTCGAGGTCAGGGGGTGTGGGAGAACAGTGGAAGCAGTTAGGTAGAATTAGTTATGCTATTGGAAAGGTATTAGCTGTTGTCATCCCAGTTTCTGGTCCTCTTTCCAGCAGAACGTAGAACTGATTTGTACAATTCAGAGTGGCCATACCTCTCCTTTTCCTTTGCAGTGAGTGAGCAGAGAGTGGATGAGAGGCTGCAGTACATGCCAGCACAGTGTCACTGTCCCTTTTGGAGTTGGCTGTGTGCCTGTAAAAGCTCTGCTGCCAGCTGGGAGTTGGGGCAGAAAATGCAGGCAGTTCCTAGTAGCTGGTTTTGAGATACATGAGCTTCTACATGCCTTTGTGTGAGAGATGTCCATCACCTCTCGATGCAAGGGGCTAGGAAGAATCCAGCTATGTAAGTACTAGGTGGTGGCTGGGTGCAAATGAATTTAGATAGTGACTTTTGAATGTTTTTATTTGGCTACAAGCAAGTGCTGTTGTATTTACTCTCTCATCTCCCCATCTGTCTGAAATGGAGAGAGCTAGGAAAACTAGGAAAAGTAATCTGGTACTGTATAACAGGTTAGACTGTAGGAATGCCTTTTTGTGTGCCTCCATCAGAGCTGGAGCTGTGTGGATGGGCAGGGGCTCTGCCAGAGGCACTCCCATCTGCAGCTGGTCCCATCCCAGGGCGTGGGGCAGAACAGCACAGGGCATCTCTGGTCATGAAGAAGGTGAGCTGATGTTCCTTGGCTGTGAGCCATGTGGGTGATGGACCCACAGCTGGAAAACCGCTCTGCAGCACATGGAGCACTTCCCCTGTCCTGAACCTGTTGCTAGCCTGGAGCCTGTCCTGCTCTGCTCCTGTCCAGTGTGGCCTCTCAGTCCTACCTCACCAGCTTTCCAGTTTGCTTTGTCCCTATATTTATCTTCCTTCTGTGGTTGGACATGTGACTGAAGGCTTTAATTTATTCACAGCCCTGCTTTTGGTAATTTATCCTTTGTACTCTTTGCTGTCTTGTATTATTTAATTCTGTGAAGCACTCTGGGATTCAGTGTGTGTGAAAGATGCTGTACACAATAACATTATGCTGTATTGTTTGTGATTTGCAGGCCTTCTGGATTTCTAATTCTGATTGCAGTGGTGGTTTGTGTTATTTGTGCTATGGCTGTGCTCAACAGCCTCATCTGGATCAGACTTCCCTTCCAGCCCTTTCCTTCAGGAGCTCACACCTCATTGTGCCTCGATTTATGTTGGCTTGCTCCATTCCATGTGTAATGGTTGGAAATGCAGGACAGACCACTGGGACATGCATGGATTTGAGGTGTCCTGGTGAAGGCTCAGGGCCAAACCTGGTGTCTGACTCCTCACGAGCTGTGGGGCTTCCCTTGGGGAGAAGTGGGAATGGTGCTCTCTGGAGATGGCCCAGGGAGTACATGTGTTCCACCCTCAGGAGGGGCTGTCTGGGGCAGCACTGAAGCAGCAGAATGAGCAGGGTGAGAGCTGCCTGTGATGTGTCTCTGCTGAGCAGCTGGACACAGCCAGAGCTGGAGGAGCTCATCAGCCTGTTCCTTGTGGGACAGGAAGCCTGAAATAGGGCAAATCTTGGGGCTGCTGGCATCATGTGCTGTGTTGATGGGGGGATGCTGGCTGCTGCCCACTGCCCTGCTGTCTGGACTGCTGCACCAGTTGCACATGGTCAGTCCAGACCCTGCAGCTGTAGCTGCAGTTGAGGTGTCTGCAGATGTGGCTTACAGCCTACTGTCTCTTGCCCTCTGGGTGTGTCACTTGGGTGGATGCAGTGGCAGGAGCAGTAGAGGATAGAGGTGAGATGGGCTCCTCAAGCAGGGGTGCCCACCTTCAGTTTGGTTCATGCTTTTCCTGAACCTACACTGCTGAAGCTTCCCAGAGTCAGAGGTGAAGTTACAGCCCACAATTTTTGTATTTCTCTGTCTATCCAAAGCATAAGGTTCCCATCAGAGCAGGTTTTTCCCCTTGTCCAAAGTCTGTGCACAGTTCCACTTTACACACCAAAAGCCACACTTTAATTTTAGTTGAAGGCTCTGGGCTTGCAGCCCAGTAGAAACGTGGCCTTTGTGTACCATGCTGCAACACAGGATGAGGAGAGCAGTGACACAGGGCATGTGGTGTTGGATTCCAGTACCCTGGGGCTGGTGGTAAGGTTGGGCACCTCCAGCTGCTGATGGTTTCCCCTTTTGCCTGGTCACAGGTACGCCATCGACCGCAGCACGGACACCGAGAGGATCTTTGACATCGATGCCAAAACAGGAGCTATTGTGACAGGAAAGGTCCTGGACAGGGAGACAGCAGGGTGGCACAACATCACTGTCCTGGCCATGGAAGCAGGTGAGGTGGAGGAATGCTGTGTGGAGCAGAGTCTGTGGGGCAGGAGGAGGAATATGAGTGCTGTCATTGCAGGGGTGGCCAAGACACGAGTGTTAATCAACACCGAAATAAAAAAGAAAAATAAATGCAGCAGCATTGAGTCTGACATCTCCCTAGACAACCTAAAAATACTCTTCCTGAGTCGAGCATTAATAAGGGAGCATGGTCGAATAGTATATTTGATGAACACTAATCAAATTTGTGTTATCTCTGCGCCATCTCTGCCAGTCATCCCTGCACAGCTTGCTGCCTGCACTCACACCTGCTGAGCAGCACCAGGGGCTCCCGGGGGGCTGTGCTCACATCACCTGCCTCCCCCCAGATCAGTCCTGTGCCATGCTTGGATGTCCCCTAAGCTGGAGCCCTGTGGCACTGCAGGACTGTCAGCACTTGCTTCTGCCAGAGCTCTCAGTGTTTGGGACTCACAGACTGTACCTGCACCTGGGTGTGTAGCTCTGGATGCCTTCTGTGTGCTTGGGGTGGTGCAGGCTGGGCACAGAAGGAATGGATGGGAGGTCCTGGGGCTGCAGCAGTGGGAAGGGACTGTGGGAGCAGCATGTCCCAGGCACCATGCTGGGAAATGAAACGCATTGCCATATTCTTCAAAGATTTCCATATTTTGGATGCGCAAGTCACCAGCGTAGCCTGGGCCCTGCTGTGCTCTGCCTCTGCCCTGCAGTGGGTACCAGGGAGCTGCTGTAGCTGCAGAGCACCTCCTTATCCCTGCTGCCATGTCCCAAGGCCTGTCTGTCTGTGGGCAGGAGCCTTCTTCAGGCTTTGCTCTGAGTGTTTCTTTGCTCATTCTTGAGTGTTGACACTGCTGTTCATGTTCAAGGAGCCAGGTCAAGGCCTGACTTGGGTCCTAGAGGTCAGATCCTGCCACCCACTCTGGCCAGGCAAGGGCACAGGCCCTGTAGCCCTGGGAGAGGAAGGGTCAGTGGCCCTGGCCAGATCCCCAGTGCCCTGAAGGGATATCTGTGGCTCCCTGGTGCATCCCAGTCCCTCTCTGTGCCAAAGCTCTGTGCTGGGTGATGGGAGTGGCTGACCCCTGCACTCTCTGGCTGTGGCACTGCTGTGAGCCCTTGCCTGGTCACATCCCAGGGAGGGCAGTCCATTGCCCTGCTGTGACCTGTTCTGGGGGCTCCATGGGGAGGCTCTGCAGGGAGGAGGGGATGGCACCACTGCAGCACAGCTCAGCATCCAGAGGAAACGTGAGGTGACAAGAATCAGAAGGACAATATTTACACGCTGTGGCTAGGATTTCAGAACAAGTCAGTAAATGCTGCAGCTCCCCTCTGGCAGGGAAGCCTGTCAGGCTGGATCGCTTCAAAAGCCAGGGAGACTCTTCAGTGCTCTGACTTCTCCCATGGTGAGCTCTGACTCATCCATTTTAGCTGCCCAGACATTCTTCCCAGTGACATTATCCTTAACGTTTTGTAATCATGAAATATTAATGACTGATATTGAATTTAAAGTACAATTTATGTCTGAATCCTCTGGCGGAAAGGGCAGTTGTAAAGGTGCAGCCTTCTGAGTGATGGAGGGGTTGGGATCAGGGCCGTGCAGCAGCTGTCAGGATGTGCCGGCACAGGGGGATCAGCCATGGAGTGGGGAATGCAGGGCAGCTGGGGGCTGGCAGCTGCACGTGCAGCAGTGCAGCTCCTGGCACAAAGGTGTCTGGGTGCTGGCAGGGCTCTGTGGTGCTCACAGAGCTGGATGCCACAGTGCCGGACGTCACCAACTCCATCAGAGGCAAGTGGTCGTATATTCTCTTTCCTCAGTGAGATGTAAACTTGGCAGGAGGAATGGAACAAACCCAGTGGGAGTCCGGCTGCCCAGGACTGTGTCTGGTGCCTCAGCTTGTTGGGGCTGGTGGGAAACTGTACCCACTGTATTCCCATGGTGCCAGGACCCACTTTATTCTCATGGCACCAGTCACATGGCCTGGAGCGTGTTGCAAGAAGACATTTCATCCCTGTGGCATCCTTGAGCTGCCCTCCTGGTCTGCTGTCAGGGCTGTCCTGGGCAGGGTTTGACCACTGCAGGCTGAAGGACAGCCAGCCCCACTGGCAACACTTGTTCCCACAGGCAGCCTGTGGGGCTCAGCAGCTCCAAACAGAGCTGTGCCCCTCCCTGGAGAGCCTTGTCTGGCAACCAGTGCTGCTGCTGCAGCTGAGACCGTGTGCAGGTTATTTCCCACCTGTGGATAGCAGAGTGTATTTGCCCCTGAAAGCTGTAAGAAAAGCTGCAGGAGGTGCCCAGCTGTGCCCATGGGGTGCTGTGAGGAGCAAGGGCAGCTCTGCCCCCCAGGCAGGCACCCCCAGCAGGAGCTGCCCGGGCCAGCCAGGGACCAGCAGCGTTTGGCCTGCAGTGTGGCAGGAGGCATGGGGGCTGTTCAGCTAATCTGGCCTGGGACCAGGCCAAGCGTTTCCACAGATAAATCTTCATCTCCCTCGCAAGCTGTTTACCTTCCTTGGGCTAATATTAGTGATTCTCTTCCTGTTTTCCTCTTTGCTCATGTAAAATGATGAGGCCTTGACTGCTGTGTCCACTGCTGGTAATTGAGATGATAAATCTTCCTGCTGGAGACTGGCTTTAATCAGAGCATTGTGTTTGGATGCAATTTAATGACTCTCATGCTGCTGAGTTTGGGTAGGACTCAGGAGAGGTGAGAGCCATTTATGTTACTTGGCTTAACTGCTGCTTCCACTTTGCTTTGCCTCAGCTGGGGGCCACGTTTTCAGCTGCAGCCTCTGAAACAGCCACCTGTCAGACAAGTCATACCCCTGGCATGCCCCTGCTCTGTCCTTGGCATCAGCACTCTGGTTTGCAGGCAGGAGCTGCACAACAGCTACAAACCCACCCTGTGCCCCAGAGCCATGGCATCAGGGCTAGAGAGCAGAGTGGCACATCCCAGTCTTCTGTTCTGCATTTTCTTCTGCCAGTTTGCTGAGATGGTGAGGAATAAATTCCACTCCTGCCTCTTCTGACTTCCTTACTAATGTAAAAATTTGGAATTCAGTATTGTACCAATTTGGTCTCCACACAGAAGAGCAGATTGGATGCTGTGCCCAGCAGTGTCCCTGAGCTGGTCTGCTCCAGGTGCTGCAGCTGCATGTGGCAGCCCACGCTCCCCTGGGCTCTCCTCAGACCCAGAGAAGCTGCTGAGCACTTTGGGGTGTGTGTGGGGAGGAGGGGAAATGGCATTTGCTGGATTTGGAGCTCCGCGGGAGATCTTTGGGTGTAAAAATGCAAAGTGTTTTATTGTGAGATTGTGTGAGGGTCCGGAGGAGTAAAGGCTGGATCCTGGCACAGCAGAAGCCACAAGTCCCCTCCTTTCCTGCCACAGCAGGGGTGACCAAGCACTGTCAATCCCTTCCCATCCCTGGGAGCTGCTGCAGGGCTACAGCATTGCTGAGCAGTTGCCCAGAGCTGCTCGGTGTCAGTCCTGTGAGCACTCAGCTGTCTGCAGCTCAGGGAGAGGCCAAGTTGGTGTTTTGCATCTGAATATTTAAAAGGAGAATATTGTCCTGTTGAGATTACTTACTTACATGATTAATTAAATAAGGAAATGCTCTGGGATGTGGATGAAGATTCCCCTGAAGCACTTAACTCTTGGCCTGAGGGTTGCTGTGCAGCAGGACTGTGACCATCTCATGCTCCTGAATCCTGGCACTGCCTGTCCCATCCCTGCCAGTCCTGCCTGTTCTGCTACATGGCACCTGGGCAGGGGTGTCTGGCTGTCACTCCCTGAGCCATGCTGGTGGCTGTGTTGAGGCAGGCACAGATGCAGCAGGGTGGAAACACTGGGCAGAGCTCTGTCCCACAGCACAGCAGCTCCAGTGGCTCTGAAATAATTCCTCCTATGTTGGCAAAGGCAGCTGCCAGTCACCAGCCTGGAGCTCCCGTACTGCACGGCTGTGCTTCCAGCATCTCCCTCTTGTTCTGTGTATTTTCCATGTCTCTTTCCTCAGTCTTTTCAGATTAATAGCATTCCAACTCCTGAAGGAAATGCAGAAAAACGGCATGTTTAATTTTAATTTAGGGAAGCGTTTAGGTAGCAGCCTAGTTTTCTCGCTGCTGTCAATCAGGTTTTCTCAAGGCTGACATCAATTAGTTTAAAAATATTGAATGTAATTTTGCCTGACACAACATATTGCAGCCACTGCAAAATATAATTTATTTTAGAAGAAGAAATAATTAAACTAATTTGCATGTCAGTCAGCTGAGCTGGAATACCGAGGAGAGATACTGCAATGGAAGATGGTTCTTTTCCCTTCCGGTTGCCCTCAGCCAGCACGTGCTGCCCTGGCCTCAGTCACGGGCCAGGTGCTCCTCACAGAGCCCTGCGAGGGCAGGTGCCTGCAGCACCCACACCTCAGCCTCATCCACCCTCTCTGCTTCTCTCTCTGGCGCTGGGAGCTGCCTGCTGAGCCTTTGCTCCTGTGCTGGGGCATTTTGGGTGCGTGCACACAGCACTGCCAGAGTTTCTGACCTCGCAGATGTGAATCCTGTGTTAGTTGAGTGCTTTGTGCCTTTCATCACAGGTGTGCTCCAACAATCTCAATCACACTTCTGACCATCGTAATACCAGTTTATGCCACTGTTATGAAAAACATATTTCAGATGTTTTGAAGATAACTTCTTTCAAATACATCCAACCATTTTTCATTTTTTCCACCCGTAAATCCAGGTACTGGCTCAAAGGATGAGGGAAGTTGATAAAGCATTGAGACACCTTCAAATGTACATTGTACAGCCAAAATAAAAAGAAGCTGATGTGTGCCTCACTGGAAAGGTGGACAAGAATGCAGCAGTTGCCTTTCTAACCTCGATGTTCCTGGACACGTCAAATTTTGATCCCGTCACTGAGCCAGGAGTGAGCACGAGCCTCAGGCTTCAGCAGTTTTGGAAGGGCAGAAGGAGAGTTTTTGTATGACAGGGTGCATTTAGAAAGGTCACTGTCTCAGAGCTGTGCCCAGGGAAGCGGGAGGTGAGCCCTGGCTGGGGAGGGGTCGGTGCAGGTTCCAGCTCTGTGCCGAGGCAGGGATGTGACCCCGCTGCTGGCAGCTGGGGCTGGGCACGGCCCTGTGCTTCTGCCTGGCTCTGAACACGCTGATCACATCCCTCCTCAGGGGCTGGGGGAGGTGGTCTTGAAGAGAAGCTGCTTTGCTCAGGATCACCTGGATATCCAGAGCTGGCACGCACCATCCCAGCAGGTCCTGGGTTTGGCAGCGCTGGGATGGGCTCCTGCTCGCAGCTGGCTCCCACACTGTGGGGCACCAAGGGAGTAACTCCTCCTCTGGGTTACAGTTGGGAAGAGGAGAGCTGGGGTCCTGGATTCTTCCTCCTTTCAGCCTCTCCTCTTCCTCTTCCTCTTCCTCTTCCTCTCCTCTCCTCTCCTCTCCTCTCCTCTTTCTCTCCTCTTTCTCTCAGCAATCTCAGCCTGCTCCAGAGCTGAGCAGCAGGGATGGTTATCCATCTTCCTTGTGGGTTGAGGAGGGGGTGATGAAACGCTGTCATCCTCCTTCTTGCAGGAACTGAACCCTTTTTCTTCCTGCTCATTTGTGGGCATCAAGCACACACCCCACCGCCTCCCCGGGCTCCCTTCTCACCCCACTGCCTCCCCCTTTCTCTCTTCCTGCAAGCAATTTCACTGCACCAATATGCCTTTTAAAATAACACATAGTTCTAGGCTTTTAGTCACGACTTCAGCCTCCCTCCCCCAAAAACAACTATCTAATCACCAGAGCAGCTGGTCTGGGTGAGAGGGAGTGATAACGTGAGAACCGGGTGAAGGCAGCTCTGGGGAGGGGGCTTACATTCCTGGCTAATTATGGAGCAGCGCTAAATCTCCTCTCCCCTCGGTCCTCCCCCACCTGATCAGTTGGGGCCACTATTAATGTTATAGACAAGCAGGCAGCAGAACTCCTGCCTGAGTGTGGAGAGAAGCATTAGTTCTGTCACAGGTGCAGCCTCTGGGTAAAACAAAGGAGATGGAGTAAGAGGGAGTTCTCATTTCTGGAGATATATGAGGTGCTTCAGCAAACATCAGGCCCTCCAGAGTGATTTATAATCCTGTGGCTCGGGCTCGGTGTCCCTCAGCAGTGTGTGTGCAGCTCAGTGATGCTACAGTCAGTGGAGGTGTAAATGCTGCCCCATCCCACAGGCAGAGTGAACCCCAAGGGAGGGGGGTCCCCAGGACCACTGCCTGTGTGAGGCTGGGCTGGTGAGTGCCAGGGTGAGAGAGCTGCCCTCAGTCTTACTGCGTACCCCCCTCATGCCAGCTGGTGGACAGTGCTGTGTTTAAGTTCAGGCTGCAGTGGCAACAAAAGCCCAGTGTCAGAACAAGAGGCTTGAGGCCCTGGGCAAGAGCCTCGTGCCTCAGTGGGGCACATTTGACCCTGGGTCACCTGGGCACAGCAGGGGTGGACGGACAGATCTCACCACCAACCTGTGCCCTTAGCTGATGCCGCTGTTTCACATCCCAGCTCCATTTGCTTGGCCCTGGGATGTTGCTGCCAGTCTGGAGTGCCTATGGATCAGGATTCCAGGTCAGAGGGGGATCTCACATCCCAGTTTTCTGTCCCATCTTGGTGCTGTTTTGCTGAAGCACAGATCCTGACCCTAATGGCTGGGACTAGCTTTGGGCTGGTCCAGTTTTCCAGAGGTAGATTAGGTGGTGTTTCAGGACTCCTTGGCACACAGCCCCGTGGTTGGGCTTCTTTTGCAGGGTGCAGTGGGGCTGAAGCATGCTCTACAGGTGCTGCTGTACTGCAGACAGTCTGTGCCACAGGCAGGCAGAGGTGCAGTGCTGGCAGCAGCCACGATGGCCTCTGGACAGATGAGAATGAGGGGGTGTGCTTCCTGATAGCAGCAGCTGTCCCTTTGTCCTGAAGCCCTGCTTCTCTTTCTGTTTCAGATAATCACTCCCAGGTGTCGAGGGCCTCTCTCCGTATCCGAATCCTGGACGTCAATGACAATCCACCTGAGCTTGCCACCCCCTATGAAGCCGCTGTGTGTGAGGATGCCAAGCCAGGCCAGGTAGTGAGAATCCCCCAGCCCTGGTCTTGGGCTGCAGGCAGCACTCCGGACTAGTGCCAGCTTGCCCATCTGTCCCCTTCTGCCCGAGAGTTTTCCTGTGCAGCCCCTGTCACAGTGGGAGTCACTCTGCTGTCCCACTGAGCCCGTCTGCAGGGCTGAAGGCTCTTTCTGCCTGCAGCCAGCAATGCTGCTGGCTGGATCCTGCACGTGGGACCCTGGGAGAGGCTGTGGGAGCAGCTCTGGTGCTCACCTCTGCCTTCTCCCTGCAGCTGATCCAGACAATCAGTGTTGTGGACCGGGACGAGCCTCAGAGCGGCCACCGTTTCTACTTCACACTGGCGCCTGAAGCCACCAACAACCACCATTTCTCTTTGCTGGATATTCAGGGTGAGTCCTGCTGTACCCTTGGCCCAGAATCCTTCAGGCTGAGCAGCACCTCAGGCCATGGACAGGGAGGTGGGTTATGGTCTCTCTGTGTCAGCTCTGGGTGCTTTGGGCATGTTGCAGAGCTTCTTGTCAACCTGAAATGGTGGGACTGATCAGCTAACAGCTTGGATTTCCTCAAGGAGGCTCTGCCAGCTTTATTCCTCGCTGCAAGCAGCTACAAAGCTCCTCTCATGCTGCCTGGTTAAGCCTTTGGTATTTTCAGGGCTCTCAGTCCCTTTCTTGATGGGAAATCTCCAACCTGCCTGCAGGCAAGGAGATGATGTGGATTTATAGAAGAGCACACTCCCATTTTGAGCGTTATGATTTATTCCTCTCCAAGGTAAATCCTGGAGCATGGGTCATCTTGGGGCTGCCATGTGGGTGGCCAGCCCTGTGCCTCTGACAAATGGGAGCAGCTCCAGAGCCCTGGGAGGCAGTGGGGCCATGCTGTAGCCAGCCCACAGCCACTGCGGGTTCTCTGGGACACAGCCTGCGCAGCTTGATTCCCTGTCAGGTGATGGCTCTGGGGTGCAGTTCCTCTGTTTCCTGGGACTCATCCTCTCCTTTGGGACAGGCAGCCAGGCAGAGCCTGTCTGTTCCTCTGGGCAGCTCTGGGGTTCTCTGCCTCCCTGAGCTCAGCAGCTCATCCTGAGTGACTCGATGCTGCTGGGAGCGATGGGGTGCCAGGCAGGTTCTGCTGGCTGAGCCTGGCAGCTGTTGGACTTTGCAGGCTGCGTTTGTGTAGACAGTAACAATCCAGAAAAGTAGTTATCAGGATGCTTCCTATTTTTTGGTTGGTGTTTAAGGGGAATTTGGGTGCTGATTGTAGCAGTAGGTAGAGCAGGGTCCCCTGCAGATACTGGGGACCTTCTCCAGCCACATGGGCATGTGCTTGTCACAGGGGCCAGCAGATCACATTGAAATTCTTCTTTGGTTTTGGTTGGGTTTTCTTTTAAAATCATTCTCTTTCTCTGCTTTTGCAGCTTTATCTGTCAAAAGCCTGGTTTAGTTTGTTCTGAGCTTATCACAGGAGCCTTCTGCTGACGTAAGATCCTTCTTGCTCAGTTTGGTTCAGCTTTATTAGGGATAGTCAAAATGGAAAAGCTTCAGATGTGATGGTAGCACAGCTGGATATTGCTTTGTGTCCTGAGTAGCACAGCTGTCCCTGACCTGAGTCCCTCCCCCTCTGCTCAAGGGCAGCTGTTCAGAAGACCTTTGCTTCTTATCATGTAAATAGGCTTTAATCCTCTGCAAGATTTTGCCCCACACCCAGTGATTAACTTCCCTCACTTTCTTTGAAAAACCTTATGAAAATGTGCTTGAACACACTGAGCTGCACCCGGGTGTCCATCCCTGCCCAGACCCTTGTGAGGCTCCGAGCTCTGGGCCAGGATGTCTGCCATGGCCAGGCTTCCATCCCAGAGCCACCACTGCTGTTTTGCTCATCTGGCAGGGCATGTGGCTGGGGTGTATGGGCTTGGCAGGGGCTGCTTGGCTCTGTGGCTCTATGTGGGGGTCCACCAGCAGTGGCCCAAGAGCTGGCCTTGCAGTAGATGCAGGACACGTGTGCCACCATCTCCTCCAGAGCTGCTGCTCTCCTGAGTGGGATGAGGCTCTTGTGGCACGGGGTAACTCTTTGTGCTAAATGATCCCTGGAGCTTTTTGTGTGGTGTAACACTGCATAAAATGAGTAAAAGCTGGCATCACCTCCCGCCTCCTGCTCTTGGGAAAACAAATGTTGTTGCTGCAGGGTTATTCCCAGAGTGTTTGGAGACCCTCCCAGTTGCTGAGCAGTGCTGTCTTCCACAGCAAGTGGAGGTGGCTGCCTGTGGCAGATGGAGGCACCCCTCGTTTCTAGCAGGGTGCCTTGGTGCCATCTCCCTCCCTTTGATTTCTGCCCCCTTCTCCAGTCCATCACCTGCCCTGGGTACACTCACCTTTGCCCCTGCTCTCGTAGGTGACCTCGCTGCATCCTCCCTTGTGTTCCCCCATTGCTTGCCTCTCCTGCATTCACCCCTCTTCACCATGCACTTGTCTCTACTCCCCCGTGCAAATATCGGCGGTGACAAACTGCTACCACCAGCCCATCTGTTTCTTTGTACAAATTTGTAGCCAGTTTTGAAACGTGATTTATAAATATTGCTTTTGCAGCCAAGGAGTGACACTGATGGATGTCAGCACAGATGGATTCTCTAAGCTCTTGCTTAAATCCTCTCTTTTGCTTTGCACCTACTTCACTTGGCTCCTTTGTGGCACCAGAAAGCCACCTCGGGGAGTGACTTGTTCTCAGCAGGGTGGGGACCAGCACTGTTGGGGCTCCCTCCAGGGGTCCTGGGTGTGGCACACAGAGCTGTGCTGGCTCCGGTGCTCTGGGATGGAGATGCAAATATCAAGGGAGTCCCTGCAGACACATAGCTGAGTTACAGGGGATTGGCAAATTGGGATTTTGGAATCAGCACCATTGCCTGTTGGTGCCTCTCTTCCCCTGCTTCTGCTGTCTGAGGGAGCTCTCACACACTTCCTGATTCATCAGACAAGGAACAAATGTCACCTGTGGTAACAGCAGCGAGCATCCAGGAAGAAGATGCCCATCATATGGAGTGACTAAAGAAAGAGATGGAATTAGAGAAGCTGACCACATTAAGATCCAACTGGTGCCATTCCAAAGCATTCACCATCCTCTGTTTCCTAACTCGCCTTTTGCTGGGTCTTTCTGGCCTAAGAAAATTGATTACAGCAGGATCAAAGGCAATTAAAGCCTGAAATCATGTTCTCCAAGAAATGCTAATTGTGTTGGAAGGGATGGTAGAAAGCATCCAAGCCCAGCAACCTGGAAGGAGTGCTAGGTAATATGGAGTGACACATGGAGCTACTGACTCCAGGGCTCAAGGGCTCGGCAAGCAGATGTCTGAACTCTCTGCAGGTCTCATTAAGAGCATGTAATGGGTGATAGAAGATCTGAAAATCCTAACAATCAAAAGCAAAACGTTAGGATTTGAGGATTGCCTGAGGATAGAGGAGCCTCCTGCAGCCCCGCAGGGATGCCCCTCTCAGCACAAGCAGCGCAGATGCTCGTTTGACTGGGGCAGGGTTGGGGTGTGTGTGTGTAAAAGAGCATCAAACCTCCTCGGGGCTGAGCAAACAGCAAAGGAGCAGCAGTGGTGCTGTGGCCTGGTACCCAGAGAACTCGAGAGAAGGAAGAAGCAGAAGGGAAAAACAGGATGTTTCTTCTACCAGCTGCACCACCTGGGGCTGGAGGAGGTCTGCTCCCTTGGGGCAGCTCTGGCAGCAGTGTGCCCGCAGGCCCAGCCAGGTGCTGGTGCTCCTCCCCAGAGCCAGTGTTCCCATGCTCTGGTGCAGCAGAGCAGCTGCTGGAGAAGGGGAAGGCAGGTGCTCACAGGGCCCTGTGAGTGGGGGAGAGGGAAGGGACATCAAAATCCCTCGTGCTCTGCTGGCGCTGTTTGAGATTGAGTTATGAGAAGGATTTATTAGTTCTATCTTCAAGGCTGCCAAGAGCCTCTTTGGAGAGGGAGTCTGGGAGACTTAATTATTTTATTATTCCTAGTGACATTAAGCTACTGCCAGAGTATATTGCCTTCCCAAACTTTCCTCTTAGGACAGTATTGATGAGTCCCTGTGTGTCCAGGTCATGTCAGTTCCTGTCCCGTCCAGTGTCCTGCTCCTCAGATGGACAGAGGGGCCTGTCCTGCCCTGTCACACAAGGTGATGTGATGTAACACAGGATAATGTCACTGCGTGATCAGAGAGAGGGTGGCAGTGGAAACCTATGAAGAAAATGTCAAATTGTGCAGCAAGAAAGCAACGATAGTAAAAGGTTTGGGTTGGGGCATCAGAGGACACTCAGCACAGCCGCAGCAGAAGGTGCAGCTTTGTGGGGACTGGGCAGGAAACCAAGTGTGAAGACCCAGACTCGTCTGTTCAGGAAAGCTGCGGATTAACGTCTGCTCACATTCCAGTGCTGCTCCTGAGAAGCACTGCTCCTCAGCTCATCACCCCAGAAATGGATTTGGCAGGAAACTGCTGCGGAGGAAGAGACACGAGGGCTGCGGGGCCAAGGCTGCCTGGGCTGTGCCAATGCAAACAAATCTGCACCAAGACACATCCCAGAGCAGCTGCTGAGGGTCAGCTACGTGTAAAATACTGCACCAAGAGAAATGACAATTGTTTTGTAGGAAGTTGCTTTGGATGCATTTTCCAGGATACACGTTCCAAGACCTGGGCAAAATTTTCCCAGCTCTGTGATCAAAAGGACTGCAAACATACAGCAGAGCCCTTTTTTTTGAGTATTTCAGAGGGGAACACAGAAGTTTGCGAGTAACAGGGGTGCAAACACCCAACAGAGAAGAGTTCATGGTGGTGGGGGGCAGGGGGTGGTGGGCAGGTGGTGGAGCCATTTCAGTGCCAGAGGCAGGTGGTCCCTGACAGGCTGGGCTCTGGCTGTTGAGCCTTGGTGAGCAATTTCATTGCTGTACACGTGAAATTTCTGTGGATCTCCCTCCTGGGATGAAGGGCGCCTGCCATCCTGTTCAGGAGATAAAATATAGTTTCATGATGTTTAAAGCAGCATTTGTAGTTGTGGTTTTGTTGCTCCCTTGCATCAAGTTTTGGGTCACAGGGCAAGCCCTCAGCCCCTTCCTGAGGCGAGGTTTCTCTGAGCAGACCTGTCTGTCATGCTGCTGTTAAATTTAAGTACCGTGTTCTTTATTTTGACTTGGTGGGTGGCAGTATTTCTTTTTCAGTGGTGCCAGGCTGCCTAAACTGTCTGGGCTGAGCTGAGGTTGGTGCCTGCCCCTCTGCCACTTGCATTTGCAGTTCCCCTTGGTTTCTAGAGACTGTTTCTAAAAATACAGCATGCCTTGTCGCAGGTCCCTAACAGGAGCTGGAGCTGGCTGTAAACAGAAGGGAGTTGCCAGCCTCCTGCTGCATTTCCAGAGAGGTTTGGTGCTACCCTTGTGTTTACACAGTGCTGAGGAGCAGCTGGGGGAGTTCCCAAGCACTGTGTTCCATCAGCCCTGTGTGAGGGTTGGGCTGAGCTGCAGTGGAGGTGCAGGGCTGTGTGCTCAGGGATCCTCTGAGCCAGGATCTGACCCCAGCCCCAGGCTGGTCACCTGGCTGGTGTGACAGTGACAGCAAAGGCGACCTTCCTGGGCTGTGGCAAGAGCCTTGCTCTCTTACAGCACTTTGGTCTCTCCTTTTTGTCCTGTGGTTTTATCCCCACTCAATCCAGGTGTCTGAGGCTTACTTTTAGCTGGACTAGCTAGGAGTTAGTCCTGGTCTCTTGCTGAGATAGTGCCATTAAGGTTATTTATATCCCCCTGCTACACTGCAGCAAGGAGGGGGGACAGCACCAAATGAGATCTCATTACCTTTGTGCAAACGATTAGCATAACAATAATTTTTTTTTCATAGCTCATCTTTGGTAGGCCACAGGCAGTTCTGAGATGTTGCTGCCACCACACTTTGTTCAGCCTCCTTGCACCCAGGTGCCAGTGCTCCCCTGTTCCTCCTGACACCTCTGCCCAGTTGCCATGGTGCTGCTGCCACATGCTGCTCCAGGAGTCTCAGCCACAGTGGCAGGTGTCCCACAGGACAGGAATCTGTGCTCTGCAGTGCCCTGGCTGCCACACAGAGCCTTTGGGATCTGCTTCCTGGCTGACCAGCAGATTTTCCATCCTGGCTCACCCCCTGTCCCCAGCATGCCCTGTGTGCTCTCATGCAGCACCCAATCCATACAGCAATTTCCGTGATGGCAGCAGCCCAAGGGCCAGAGTTACTGTACATGTCTTTTCCAATGGAAGAGCTGATTCATAGAGAAAGGGGATGGTCTGGCATAAATCAGGTCTGATGAGGAGAGGCTGTAGACAGCAGCACCTTGCTGTGAGTGGGCCAATCCATGGTTTATTAGATAAAGGCTGCAGACACTCAGCAGTGGCTTGTGACACCTGGCTCCAGTTGTCACCTGCTGTTCAGCCCCATCCTGCCCACGCTGCTGCTGGCTGGCAGCCTGCAGCACCCCTGAGCAGGGAGTCAGTCCCAATGTCAGTCCCTGGTCCTTCCCTCCCTCCCTGCTCCTGGTCGGCAGCAGCTGCTCCTTGGGTTCACTGCTGGCACCGGGGCCCTGGAGGGTCCCGTGAAGTGGCTGTGATAATGGGATCTTAACGAGTTGTGCTGTGCCAGCTGAGCCTCTGAAGCAGCAGGGTGTAAGCAGATGGGGAGGAGGATGCCTGACTTGGCTGGGAGGCTTGGAAGAAGCTCTGCCTACTCCTTCAGGAGTTACAGAAGATTACAGGGGTATCTGGCCCTCCGGCTGAGGCAGGACCATTCACTCATGGCTTTTGGCTTTGGAAGAAGCAGTGTCTGCTCTTGCAGTCTCAGTGCCACCTGCAGACCTGTCTGTTCTTGTGTACATGTCAGCAATTGATTTTTATCCTGACTCTGTTCCACTCTCAGAGGGTCTTTAGGAAGTTTTTCCCCTCTGTCTGTGCCACCTGCATTGTTTGTCAGCGTGCTTCAGACACTCATGTGCTGCTGCTGCTCTGCCAGGCTCACTCCCAGGTGTGGTGACAAAGGAGATGCCAGGCTGGCCCTGAGGTGCTGCTGGCAAAGGGGAAGGTGCTGGAGTGGAGCTGGCCATGTTCAGGCACTCAGGCTAGAGGGGGTTTGCAGTGCCAAGGAGCCATGAGCTGGGTCCATGTGATGGAGGAGGGGGAGGCCCCAGGCTCTCTCAGGACAGCTTCTGGAGGGGTGCAGGAATAGCTGCTGTTCATCCAGAGCACGGAGAAGCCCCTGGCAGGTGCTGCAGGCTGTGATGTGGGGGTGACTTTGCTGCAGCTTTGCTTGTTCCCTGCAGACAACACGGCAGCGGTGCACACACAGAGAGTGGGCTTCAATCGCCAGGAGCAGGACGTGTACCTGCTCCCCATCCTGGTGGTGGACAGCGGCCCCCCAGCCCTGAGCAGCACAGGGACTCTGACCATCCGTGTGTGTGGCTGTGACAGCAACGGGGCCATCCAGTCCTGCAACAGCACAGCCTACGTGGTGTCAGCCACACTGAGCCCCGGCGCCCTCATCGCGCTGCTGGTCTGCGTCCTCATTCTGGTTGGTGAGTGCCTGCCTGTCCCCTGAGTCCTCGCTGTCCTCTCCCAGCTCCTCTCCATCAGCATCACGTGAATGTGTGCAGGCAGGTGCTGTGGGCACAGAGCTTCCCTGCATCTCTCTCTCCCTGGTAGCTGCAGCATGGGGGGCATGAACCTCAGCCCCTGCTGGGGGGACCAGGGGGGAAGCTCCCATGTTTGCCACAGCTCATGCGTGCTGGGCTCCACACGGCAGCCAGAGCAGAGTTCCCTGTGCCAGGCAGGTGTGATGCTGCCCAGCAGAGCCTGGAGAGCTGCTGGCTCGCTCCCTGCCTGGACAGCAGGAGCCAAGAGCTGCTTGCCAGCTGCCATGCTGTGCCCACAGCAGGCATCTCACAGCAGATGGGGCTGTGTGATCCTGGCATTTGGGCAGGATGGTGGGTGTGGGGCACACAGGTGTGCTCTTACCTGAAAAGGTCAGTGTTAGAGCATGTGTGAGTGTGTGGGCAGGATGCAGAGCTGGGCTGTGGTCAAACCAGATTGCTGCCCAGGTCAGGACCTGTACCCTGGGAATGCTGCTGCCTGCCACTGGCACACTGGCACAAGCTTTGTTGGGCATGGGGAGCATGTGCTTGTGTGCATGTGGGAAGAGGCTCTGAACGAGGGATATTGCAATGCCCTCGGGTTTAGCACGGGACAGTTGATGGATGCAGCTGCTGAAAGCCCTCTGTGGCCCCAAAACTGGCTGGCCCAAGGCTTGTCCAGACACCTGTGGGAGGCAGCACATTGTTTGGTGAGGTCTCCTCTCCTTGGCATGGCTCCACTCCCTGTCTCCTGCTGCATCTCCGTTCAGAAAACCGTTTCCCACAGGGTGCACTTTACACTGGTTTCATTTTCCAACGCAGTGCAAACAAATTTCTGCCTAATTGCCCAGACAAATAAAGTGCACATTGGTGCTTTAAAGGTGATGGGCTGAATGGATGATGATCCAGGACACAGCTGCGTCTCGCTGCTCAGGCTCTGTGCCATCTGCTCCACATTCACCCTCCCAACATTCAGCTGCTATTATGAATCATGCACCCCCTTTTCCTGCTCATCCTCTGCAGAAGCCTTCCGTTTGTCTGTCCAGCTGTGTGTTTATCCATCGCTCCCTCCTGTCTCACTGGTCACGCTGCATGGCAAGGGAAGCTCCTGGTGTGCCCTGGAGGCCAGGCAAACCTCTCTCCAAGACAGCACACAGCAGGGCTGCTGCTTGATGAGCCTGGCTGGTGGGAACCCTCTGGCATCCTGGCAGGGCTCCCCATGCCAGAGGGGTGCTGTGCCTCCACCCCTGCCAGGGAGCAGGGGTCATCCTCGCCCTGCAGGAGCACAGCGTCCCCGAGACTCTGCCCCCTCTGACTGTCTCTTCCTTTCCCAGTGCTGGTCCTTCTGATCCTCACGCTGAAGCGGCACCACAAAAGCCACCTGACCTCTGAGGATGACGAGGACATGAGGGACAATGTCATCAAATACAACGATGAAGGAGGTGGTGAGCAGGACACGGAGGCCTATGACATGTCAGCCCTACGCAGCCTCTACGATTTCAGTGAGATCAAAGCTGGTGATGGAGGCGGGGGGCCAGGAGAGGGGGGCCCAGGCAGAAGCCCAGCCTCCGAGCTCCATGCCCTCCCACAGTGGGTGCAGAGCCCAGACCTGGACTTCTCTGTGTTCAGAGACTATATCTGCAGGAAGGTGGAGCAGGCGGACGAGGACCTCTCTGTGCCGCCCTATGACTCATTCCAGACCTATGCTTTCGAGGGCTCGGACTCCCCAGTGCCCTCCCTGAGCTCCATCAACACCTGGTCCAGCGGCTCCGAGCAGGACTTCTCCTACCTGGGGGGCTGGGGGCCGCGATTCCGGCAGCTGGCAGCGCTGTACGCGGGGCGCAGGGGCGACGAGGACAGCGAGGAGTCCTAGCTGCCCCTCCGGCCCCGGGGGCTCCGGACACCTCCTGGACAGGGGCTCCAGGGCACGAGGTCCCACGGGCATCGTGTGCTCCTGGGCCAGACTGCACGGCTGCAGGCGAGAGGCCGCACCGCGACTGCTCCTCTGCAGCTGCCTTCGGCTCGGGGGCTCCACACCCGCGTGGGGAGGCTGGGGAGCCCGGAGGAGCCACCGGGGTGTCCTCATCTCCTCAAAGCCAGTCTCCATTAAAGCACTACGCGTTGACTTAAGAAGGAGAAAATCTAATTCAAGAGGGTTTGGAGAGGGTTTCTCCCCCACAAATTATCATTTAAATAGATCTGTTCGGTGATCCCCATCCAGGAGAGGAAGAGCAAACCGGGAGTCTTTTGTTGTCTAAATTGTTTTTGTCACTTGAGTCAGAGCATTTAAAGAGCTTTGATTTCTTTAAGAGCTTTCCTTGCTGAGGGAAACAAGCTTTTAACTTCTGTTCAGATTTTCCCCTCCTAAGTTTACTTGCTTTTTGAAGTCTTCCTTCTCGCTGCTCCCTGTGGGGCTCTCAGCAGCCCCCGGCTGCGGGCACGGTGTTGGAGGGAGGATGCCACGCTGGGATCACATCCTGCAGAACCGCTGCTCACCTCAAACCAGGTTTCCCTTCCATGCTGCAATCACTTCACCCCTGCCTGGTGATCACAGAGGTGCTGGTGATGTGAAGGGGATCCCCAACACTCCCTGCACAGCAGATGATGTCTGTGAAGTCCTGGTGTGCCCCACAGCCCCAGTGGCAGACAGGGATGTCCCACCTGTCACCAAGGCACAATGTTGTGGCCTGGGCCACAGAGCAGCTGCAGTGCTGGGGAGTGCCATCAGAGTACCACCCCCAGTGGGCTCTGCCAGCCCCTCACACAGGACCTGGCGTTTGCAGGGCTCCCAGCCTGGCACTGGCTGTCACCAAATGGGGTGAGCTGCACAGGGCAGCAGGCAAGATGTCAGTGCTCCCTGGCCCACAGTGGCTGGGGGAGAGCTGCATTCCATGGAGGACCTTGCTGCAGGGTGCAGGAGAACCCTGGCCCTTGGCTGGGAAGAATAATTCCTGCTTGCACCCAGCTGACAGCAGAGCATCACCATTAGCAGCAGAACAGCCATCCCCAGGAGATGTGTGTGAGGCCAGAACCTGCTGGCACAGCTCTGGGGCTGAGCTGGCTGCAGGTTGGGCAGCACATCTGTGGCACCTCGGGATACCCAGGGTGTCCCCCCCCCAGCAGAGTATCCTGCAGCAAACCAGCATGAGTGCCCAGCAGGACTGCTTTTTGCATGTAATTCCTGAGTTTGGGAGGCAGGTGAGGGAGGTGCCAGTGGGATGTGCATTGCTCCTTGGCTGCAGATGATGCTGGAAGAAAGCACTGGGTGCCCAGTGCCTTCCCAGCCTGCCAATTACCACAGGGAAAACTGAACAGCCTGTAGAGTGATGTCCTTGCACAGCACCTCAGGCCATCCTGGCTGGTGCAGCTCCTTATCTGTTCACGTTGGGAAAAAATCAATTATATCATTGATAGGTAACAGATACTGTCTCCCAAGGCCTGACACATCCTGGGCTTGTCATTGGGTTTGTCCTTTTAGTTTAACTACAGACACTGTTTTCTCTCTTTGGAGAAGGTTTGACTGTAGATGTACACGCGTGTCCATTTTTTACTGTGTGTTGCTTCCCGGCTGCTGGCCTTGGTCCTTTGGCTGCAGCACGAGAGCCAGCAGCGGAGAGGGACAGGACCTGGCTCTGCCACAGTGCCTGCCCTCAGCTGCTCCTGCCCACTGCCACCATGGCCCCTGTGCAGAGCCCCAGCCTGGCTCATGCTGGGACCAGGAGCCCCTCGTGGCCTCTCTGGTCCCTCTGAGGAGGCGATGGTGCTGCGGCTGGCACCTGTGCCCAGCGTGCTGCTGGTTCACTGTGATGATGCTGGGGAGGCAGCGGGGCCCTCGAGTGCCAGCTCTGGCCACACCATCTCAAGCACGCGACACCCCGCACCTCCAAGCAGGAGAACGGAGAAATCCCTCTCTTTCCTCAGGAATGTGTTCGTGTTTTCCCTCTGGGCTGCAGAGCTGAGCCCCTCGGGCACTGGCCCACCCTCTAGCCAAGTGTTGTGCAATAGCAGGGCTCTGTCCTAGGAGATGGGGTCTGACAGGGTAGGTGTTTAGCACCCCTCCGTGGGTTCTCCCCATCCCGAGCAGCCCGTGCTCCCCGCGCATGCACTCACGCTTGCGTTTTAGTTTCTGTCCCACTGTAAATACGGGAGGAGCGCGGTGCCCGCACCCCCTGCCCGCCCCCGCAGGAGGAGCTGGCAGCTGCCACCGTGCCTGATGGAGTCACTTCGGGTTTGTTTCTCTACCCAGATGAAATTGGAAGGTTGATTTCCTCACCCTTGTTATTTTTTTTCAAGGTCTTTCTAGGACCTGGAAATAAATTATTTCCTTGTCGTCTAGCCTGAGTCTTATGTGCTTTTTTTTGTCTTTTTTCCTTTCCTTACATTGGCCTGTCATTGTGGTCCCTTTGGTGCCTTCCATGAGAGGCTGGGTGGCTGATGGGCCATGGCACAGCCAACCCCTGCAGCGTGTTCCCACTGGCAGGATGCTGCATCTCTGGCTTCTTCCCATTTTTCATTGAAATGCTCATCAGAAAAAGCTTCTTCAAGAGAAGGGTCATTTTTTCTCTCTGAACTTGAAAAAAATGAAAATGAACAATGAAAAAAAATGGCCTTGGTGTTCTCCATCCCTTTCAGGAGAAAGTTGGCTTGTGCTTTGAGCAACCCAAACCATTGTATGATTCTGTAATTCTTGATGGATTCAGTACAGCTGAGCATTGTCAACAGCTTTGGTACCTGACCCATTCTCATTTTGGTGATGCTGTGTGTTGCAGCAGTGTTCAGTTACTGGCAGCAGCTAAAAAACCCTCCTTCAAACTCAGTTTTAATACTGAAATCATGCAAATAAATGACATTCCGGCCTGACCCCAGCTAAATCAATTGCTGGTGGTTTCCTTCATGGCCAGGGGCTGGGGAAAGATCAAGGTGCTCATGGAAAAGCAGCGTGACCCTCCCTGGGCCTGGGAAGCCTCACTGAGGTGGCTGCAAATGCTCCAGCACCCATCAGTGTGACAGTGGCACCCCATGGAGGGGTGGAGGAGGCACAGAGAGAGGGGACATGGCCAAGCTCAGTGGTGGCCTCAGTGTGGGTCAGCAGATAGGACAGGCAGACTTTAAAACTGCTCCACAAAGGAACAGTCATTTAAACAGCATCATGCAGTCCTGGCTCCAAAACAGGATTATTGTTCCCCAAGGTCTTTGAGTGTTTCCTTATCCTTCACCATCCCCTTGCCTCCACTCCGTCCTGCTCCCTTGATTATTCATTAAATGTTATGGAAGAAGCATCTGGTGACCTTTGATGACAGCAGTTAGTGGATGCTGTGACAGAAGGGGGAAGTCTTGAGGCCGGAGGGTTTTCCAGAGGCACAGGGTGTGCTGTCACCTCAATGTCCGTGCAGTTTTCCTTCTCTCTCTTACAGTGAGTGCCTCTACAGCTGCCAGCCTTGAGGAAGCCTTTCTGCCAGCATCACCATTAATTGCACCATTAATTGCCCCCTCACAGCAAGTCAGTCAGTGCTGTGGTCACAGCCACCTGCTCTGGCAGGTCTGGACACTTGGCCCCTTGCTGTTTGCAAAGAGCTGAGTGTTTGTAGCCGAGTTTCCAGCCCAGGTCCTTGGCAACAAGAACTCTCATCCAGCTGCAGCTCTCCAAGTCCTGCTGTCCCACTTCAGGCACCCAAACACTTTGAGATTCTAGAGGCTGGGGTCTGGAGTGTTCTGGGGACTCCACAATGAGGAGGAGGAGGTGTCTGCAGTCACCGTGCTCATTGCAGTGGAGGTGATAAGTGCCTGGCATGGAGTGTGAGCCTGCGCTGTGCAGGAGGATTTGCTTCTTGTATATTGTGGGGAAATGGAGAGAGCTCAAAGCAACAAAATGCCAGTCAGAACCAGACCCTTCACTACAAAAGAGGAGGATTATTGAGAGCTTTGATTGCAGAAGCATCTGTGAAGATGCTTGAATAGCTCCATGCCTCCTCAACACAGCCCTTCTGAGGGAATTCTTCTATGGCAGCTTCTCTCTCTCCAGCAGTTGCACACAGCCTCCTTGCAGAGCAGGGTAAGGACAGGTCCCTCTCCTCCTCCTTCTGCAGGAGGGGAAGCCAGTCCTGCTCTGCAGATGATGCTTCTCACCACATGGGATGTGACCTGTGGCTGTCTGCTGGCAGTGCTGGCCAAGGACAGTGGCACTTGCCACACATTCTGAAGGGGTCCTCCAGGCCTGGTGCTGCTGTGTCCCATCAGCCACGGGCTGCTGCAGCCCCTTTTCCATCCCCAGCACAGGGAGGCTGCATCAGTCACCTCCAGTGTCTGCACTGAGCCATGGCAAGCTCCAGAAGGCAAGGTGTCCAGGTCTCCTCTAGAGAGGTATTTGCAAAAGATGGATGTGATCTGCTGGGATCATTAAAAGGAAGTGAAAAAAGGGCAGTGATACCTTCATCCCCAGGAGGAAAATCCATCTCTGGTAGCTGAATGTAGCAAGGCTATGTCAACCTCTACCTCCCATTCCCACTGGCAATATCTTGCTCTGGAAGGTGATTCCTTCTCTCCCCATACCCTCTGAGGAAGTTGCTTTATCACCAGAAAGCTGACTCCTTTTACCACCTCCACCACAGCTAATATCGCAGATCCCTACGTCCTTTCATTTACCCAGCCCTTGAGCTGCTTTCAGGGTTGGTGTCAGACTCTCCCTGCTCAGCAAAATCTGTTTTACATCTCTGCCCTGTGCTTGGTGCAGGCAGCAGCTCTGTCTTGTCAGGGCTCTCTTGCTGTCACAGAAATCTGGTTTGTGCTCTCATCTTGGCTGTGCCTCTGCTGCCTCCCAGCCCATCCCAGGAGTGCTCCCAGTATCTGGAGATGACCCAGCTTTGTGCTCAGCAG